GAGGTTCGAGGTCCGAGGTTCGAGGTCCGAGGTCCGAGGTCCGAGGTCCGAGGTTCGAGGTCCGAGGTCCGAAGTCCGAGGTCCGAGGTCCGAGGTTCGAGGTCCGAGGTCTGAGGTCCGAGGTTCGAGGTTCGAGGTTCGAGGTGCGAGGTCCGAGGTCCGAGGTTCGAGAGGTTCGAGGTCCGAGGTTCGAGATCCGAGGTAAGGGACAATCTGGTGAAACGAACTTTTTTTTTCTAAGCAAATCAACTTATTTTTCCAAGATGTTTCTGTGTTTTTCCTTGCATGGATGTTGAGCCTGTTGGTTTACATGGGTCTATGTTGTGTCTCAGTTGGATCTGCCTCCATGACCCTGGTTCTTGGTTGGGTCTATGTCTATGTTGGATCTGCTATGTTGGATCTATATGTTGGTCTATGTTGAACCGACATTGTTAATGTAACCAAGATCACCAAATTCTAAAAATACGGGAGTCCACCTTCCCCGGGTTTAGGCCCTTTAGGCGGACTCCCCCCTGGAAATCAAAAAACAGAAAAAATATGTCCAACATGGGATACGTCCAACATAAACCCTATGGCCCCAACGCTAGCTTTGCTACACATTTGTGGACATCTCAGCAGATCCAACATAGACCAACATATAGGCCCAACATAGCAGATCCAACATAGACCCAACCAAGACCCAGGGTCATGGTGGCAGATCCAACATAGACCCAGCATGGAGGCGAGGTATGGACAACATCTTGGCAAGGAAGATCCAACTGAGATACACCATAGACCCATGTAAACCAACAGGCTCAACATCCATGCAAGGAAGGAAAAACACAGAAACAGTCCGAGGTCCGAGGTCCGAGGTACGAGGTCCGAGGTCCGAGGTTCGAGGTTCGAGGTCCGAGGTCCGAGGTAAGGGACAACCGACATATGTTCCTGCTTTTTGATTTCCAGGGGGGAGTCCGCCTAAAGGGCCTAAACCCGGGGAAGGCCGACTGCCGTATTTTTTGAATTTGGTGATCTTGGTTACATTAACAATGTTGGTTTTTACTGCAAACCATCACAGGTAAAGTTTCAGTGCATTCGCTATCACAATAAATAACCAGGACCCTAAGGCGCTGCCAAAGTGCCTCTGACGCTGCAAGAGTGTCATGAACTATTAACCATGATTCATTTCATCATGATTCATCTCAACCATGAAAATGTTAGAAAATGATGCAGGGAATTGCATACTGATTGCTGGTTCAATAAAGATATACGCTTGATGAGATGAATCATGGTTAATCGTTCATGGTTATTACCCATGATGAAATGAATCATGGTTAATAGTTCATGACACTCTTGCAGCGTCAGAGGCACTTTGTCAGCGCCTTAGGGTCCTGGTTATTTTGACGGATAGCAAATGCACTGAAACTTGACCTGTGGTGGTTTGCAGTAAAAGCCAACATTGTTAATGTAACCAAGATCACCAAATTCAAAAAATACGGGAGTCCGCCTTCCCCGGGTTTAGGCCCTTTAGGCGGACTCCCCCCTGGAAATCAAAAAAACAGGAAAAGATGTCCAACATGGGATACGTCCAACATAAAGCCTATGGCCCCAACTTTGCTACACATTTGTGGACATCTCAGCAGATCCAACATAGACCAACATATAGGCCCAACATAGCAGATCCAACATAGACCCAACCAAGACCCAGGGTCATGGTGGCAGATCCAACATAGACCCAACATGGAGGCGAGGTATGGACAACATCTTGGCAAGGAAGATCCAACTGAGACACAACATAGACCCATGTAAACCAACAGGCTCAACATCCATGCAAGGAAGGAAAAACACAGAAACCTCTTGGAAAAAAAAGCTGGTTTGCTCAGAAAAAAAAGTTGGTTTCACCAGATTGTCCTTAGGTTCGAGGTCCGAGGTCCGAGGTTGAGGTCCGAGGTCCGAGGTCCGAGGTCCGAGGTTCGAGGTCCGAGGTTCGAGGTTCGAGTTCCGAGGTCCGAGGTCCGAGGTCCGAGGTCCGAGGTCCGAGGTCCGAGGTTCGAGGTTCGAGGTCCGAGGTCCGAGGTCCGAGGTCCGAGGTCCGAGGTTCGAGGTCCGAGATCCGAGGTGGCAACGCGGCGGCACCATCCATTGTCAAGTTCGATCTCAAAATTTAGGCATTGTCCCCGTAGGAGGTAAACTTCAACATTGACGCCTGACGCCCAGGGTGTATATATGAGCAGGGACCCCCACACCCCCCCCCAGCCAGATGGTTCCCCCCCCCCTGTGGCAGGGGAGGGGGGGTTTTCTCAGCAGCCAAGCCATGGTGTATGTAGTCTTTATAGTGCGCCTGACGCCCAGGGTGTATATATGAGCAGGGACCCCCACACCCCCCCCCAGCCAGATGGTTCCCCCCCCCCTGTGGCAGGGGAGGGGGGGTTTTCTCAGCAGCCAAGCCATGGTGTATGTAGTCTTTATAGTGCATATAATGCATATGTATCGATAATTAGAATGGATATACTATATGTAATATAGAGTGTATGTGTAGTGTATATATATATATAAACATATATATAATATGTAAGATATAAATAGAATATATGCAATCTATCTATATATATATATATTTGACATATATATATATATATATTGAACATATATATATATATACATCGTATATGTGGTTTTTGATAGAATATAGATAGTATATGCCACATGTACTGTATCCACAGTAGATGTAATATATACAATATAGGTAAATATGTTCGTTGAATAATTTTTACATAGTATATGTGGTATATTGAATATCGACAGCAATACACGCTGTATATCTAGAGTTTATGCATATATATATATACATATGTATATATATATACATATATATATATATACGTGTACAGTATGTACAATGTAAACGAAATATGTGATAGATACAAGATCAAGATATCAATCTGTAGTATCTAGAATGTGCATATATATATATATATTGTATTTATTGTTTTTCTACTGTACATATGTCTAGGTTTGCATAGGTAAGCTTTGCGTAATCCATAGGTAGCAAATATGTTGTAAACCATGTGCGAGGCACGCTATAGGCGGTTCGAAAAAAAGGTTATGATAGAAATATACAGGTAGGTCCGTTGACGAGGTCGTGGCTCTCAAGTGCTGCAAATAACGTAGAGATGCGAGGTTGGAGGGGTGGAAAGGGGAGTATATATGTGTATATGTGTATGTATATGTGCAAATAACATGCAAATACTAGGTTTTGGGGGGGTGGGGGGGGTTAGGAGTGGGGGGGGATACCATTGGGGGGGGAGGGGGGGGGTGGGGGGGGTCCGGGGACCGGGCTCATATATATATATAACTTATATTATGTTATATTATATTATATCATGATATATCATAAATTGTATTATACTATGTTATATTGTTTTATGTTAGAGTAAACTACACTATATTTACATACATCAAAGTAAACAAATCCCATCAATGGTACAAATCCCCAATTGTCTGGCTTCTAAGTAATGTCTTCTAAACAAACATACTCGCAATCAGAATAATCATAAAAAAGTTGAGGCCACACATACTTCTTCCGGATTGAACCTGGAAGCGCGGCGTATATAATGTATATATTGTTCATAGACTTCACGTGCCTGTTCCCGTAAGCTGCCAACACAATCATTCCAGGTCTCAACCAGCTGCAAGATGTCTTCGGCAAAATCAGAAGTGACCTCCTCGCCTAATTCCGTACGGTCAATCAACAAATGTTCCGTACGAGTCTATAGAGCGTAGTGCAATGGTTCAGGTACTTCATGTGTTGCATCGCCAGCATACCTGCCGCCTGAAAGTTTGCGGCTCGACAATCCAAGCATTTCCCGCCGGTTTGGGACTTCTCAACAGCGCTTTGACATTGGTGCCACTTTGATGAAGATGTCCCATTTCTGTGCTGCCCGCTGCCCATTTACTTTTGGAGAAGCATCCGTGAAACCTGCAAAACGCATGTTCCTCAACAAATGTTTTTCAGGATGTTTGACCGCTGGATCGCCGTCGCATCCTCCTCCAACCCATCCTCCTCTCTGGAGCTGTGCTTCTTGCGAGTGCCAGCCATGCAGCAAACCCGCACACCCTTCTTGTTCCGAAGGCCAGCGGGACTTTGAACATAAGTCTTGCTAAACAAATTGCCTACTTGAAAACAAACACATGTTGGGAAAGCTTTTGCATGTTGGTATTGCTCAACAAATTGTCTGTTTGAAAACGAAACCAAACCATGTCGAGAAATTGTTTGCAGTTTCGCATAGCCAAACGAATTGCCTAATAATGCAAACCACATACATCTTGAGAACACTTTTGCACTCTAGTATTGCCGATCAAATTGGCCCAATTGAAAACGAATCCGATTGAAATTGATATGAATCTAAATTGGCATTGACATTGTAGCAGAATCGACTTGTCTTTTTTTAATTTTAGGAATAGGAACGTTCCAAAAATTGGTGCATTTTTTTGTGGGGTAAAGCATGGTACATTATTGGTCATTATTGTGATTCCGATGTGCTTCAAGGCTATCCACTTTGCGAGTTTGTTCGTTCTCCAGATCTTTCGGGATTATAATTCAGATCTTTGAGGTCAAAAAAAACTGTAGGAAAAAAACAGAAACCACGGAGAAACCAAGGGGAAAACATAAACGTCCTGAAAACGATTGGCGCACTTTATTGTGGCCGGGGGTTTATTAATATGACCGGGACTTTGACAAACTTTATATATTGGGGTTTATTGACCGTGAACCTCCTGTGAGCATTGCAGAAGCATGCATTCTGCATTGTAAAACTATCAGCATCATCCCGGAAATTGAAATCTCCAAGATGGGTAAATCAGTCCTGTAGCCAAACCCTTGTTTTGGCGGGTACTACTTCAGTCAAATGACCATTGCTGGGATGCACAGTCCCGCTACATAGCGTTTAAAATTACTGTGACGCCTTGGTACACCTTACGTCAGGCTTTGCATGGAATCTATTTGTAACTCTGCACATGGCACCTGGATCGAAAGGTTTCACTTTTTGAAGCATCAAGATCATCAAGACCAGAGATTGTGGTCATGTTCAGTGGTACGACATGGATTATTGTTGCTATCCCCAAGATACCCATCGGCTTGACCGCGGCAAGACGGATTTGTTTCTTTGAATCATATTCAAAACATCTTCTTGGTGGTTACGGAAAAAAAACAACCTCAACACATCCCTTGACTCCTGGAGCTTCCACGAACCCGGTCATCTGTCGCGGGGCAGTGATGTCGGTGCTCACAGCTGGCAGCTGAAGAAAGAAAGCTAAGACCAGCTCCATGATGGATGGGAGCACCTAGGGACATGGTCATGGCACAAGGATGCGCGTTTGGAGATCGAAGAAGAACAACTCCGGATTTTGCTGAAAAGTGGTGCGAACTTGTCAAAAACCAATGGGTGATTTTTTTTTCAGTGATTTGCTTGTTGAAACCAGTTCTGGTTGGTGGTTGTCAAGCCACCCCTCTAAAAAACATGAGTTCGTCAGTTGGGATTATGACATTCCCAATATATGGGAAAATAAAATTCATGTTCCAAACCACCAACCAGTATATCATGATAAATAATGGGATAATCACATCCCAATCCCCATGGCCCCATGGATTTCCAGTTGACCACATGTTCCAAACCACCAACCAGAGTTGAAACCAATGGTTGCTGAAAAGCAGTGCTTGATCTAGTGGACCAGCTGATCCCATCACAGAGAGATTCCATGAGGCGCAGCTTTCATAGTCAGGCGCAGCTTCCACGGATGGTTTCGATGTGTTCAAACCAGACCCTTTGTTTTACACCAAAAAACAGGGCCGTTGGAGGTGATTTTTTATGTTTTTTTTTCACAAAAAAATACCCACATCCGGATTTTTTTTTCTGGTGGGGGTACACAGCAAAAACACATCAGCAGGTAGATTTTCATCGAGGATTCGAATCCACCCTTTGTGACGTCCACTTCTTGCGCCGAGGAACAATGATAACATCCTGGAGCTGAGATGAAACTCAGAGGGTTCACTGATGCTCGTCCAAAAATTGCGTTTTTTTTTGGGTGGTAGTTATGCCATGAACCCAAACAAGTAAAATTAAGGGAACCTTTTTTTGTTTCAACACCGTTGGAGATTTATCAACGACCTCACGTGTCATGGGTCAAAATTAGGGCACCAAAGGACCCATGGCAATGGGAAATCCACCGCTCGATGAGAATGTCCCGTTAAAGCCTCTACTTTTAGGGGATACTCCTCAATTCGCCAAACAAATCCACCATTTCACCGACCAGCTTTATCCATTCACCATCCTTGAGGCGTAAAGAAAAGCCACGACTTGTCAGATGCAACATGGAGACTCAACTACGTGGAAACTAATGTAATCTATACATGTGTTTAAAGAAAATGACTGTTGCACTCCAAGAACCAAACATGTGACATACATACCACAGTTCTTGTAATTGTCAAACATCCAGAAATTGCCAATGTTTACCCCTGGTGGATGGAGAGCGGATACCATTTTGCTAGCTGGTGAATCCATTTGTTTGGGATGGATGAGCTGTTAGAGGGAAACTATATATATATAGATTGTAGACAATGGCAACATAACTATATGATAAAACATGCTGAATCTGTGGTTGACACGCCCTCAGGCAGTTTTGCCGTCTGAAGTGATCCACGCAATAGTATCTGATACAATTTGCCAGTGATATTATACACATCTGTGATCTCAATGATTTGTTAATGCATGAATATATACTTGTATAACATTATATAAATATATAGAGATGCGTGCTATTTTTTCACTATTGAGCTGCATATATACAAATATATATATAGAGTATGCGTATGCTGTGTATACTATAAATGATATATGCACATTTTTTTTTACTCCACAAGAGCGCGATAAAAGCCGGCATCGCCAAGGGGCCAAATAATTCCAGAAAAGGCCAGGGTCTCCTGATGGCGTCTGCGATAAACAACCAGCAATTTTTCAGCTGGGAACTGGCAGAGAAATTCTGAAACATGAAACAATGGGAGAGGATTTGCATACGGTTTCGAAACCATGCTTCTCCAATCATTTTACGCTTAGTCATTCAAGATTCAAGAGTTTGCCAAGCACAGATCCGTCATCATTGCTGCTTGTTTGAGTAGACTCATTTACAGAACATATTTTCGGAAACCAGTATTTCCCAATGAAATTCTTGGCGTTTTGATCCCCTGCCAAAAGCTGTATGTTTAGTAGGATCAATCATCTAGAACTCGGGGGTTTCCGGGAGTTTAAAAAAAACAATGGTGGTTCAGCAACCCAATTGAACCACCTGAACACCACAGATAACATGAACTACACTACCCGATTGGAAATCAAACATGGCAAGCAAACTAGGAAGTCCCAGAACTGGAGCTTTCCATGGGACACAATGATATAAATGGTGGATTTTCCAGCAAACCATGTTTGATGACCAAAGCGTAGCCAACAGATGTTTGGATATCTGGTTCTTGTCCATAATCAAACTCTGGTTGTGAACATAGATGTCCTTTTCCCACTGGTTAGTTGCTCACGCCGTGACCGGTGGCCTGTGCGTTTTGTTACTTTTTGTGCGTTTTGTCTATATATGTGGTACATCTATATATGGGGTGGGGTGGGGTGGGGTGGGGTGGTATATCAACGTCCTGACGACTACGTCTTTGATAGTGCGTCCTGACGACTACGTCCTTCATACTACGTTGTCAACATATATGTTCTCTTGAGGATGCAACATGTTACTACGTTGACACTTCGTTGGGGTGGGGTGGGGTGGGGTGGGGTGGGGATATCAACGTCCTGACGACTACGTCCTTGATAGTATGTCCTGACGACTACGTCCTTGATACTACGTTGTCAACAATATGTTCTCTTGAGGATGCAACATGTTACTATACGTTGACACTACGTTGGGGTGGGTGGGGTGGGGTGGGGTGGGGTGGAGATATCAACGTCCTGACGACTACGTCCTTGATAGTACTCCTGACGACTACGTCCTTGATACTACGTTGTCAACATATATGTTCTCTTGAAGATGCAACATGTTACTACGTCCTTGTTACTACGTTGGAGGCACTCAGTGTCTCGACAGAGCTTGGGGAGTTTTGAAAAAATGGCTCCCAAAGCAGTTGAATATCAAAAAAAGGTCCAAAGGACATGGGGTAGTCAATCCTCACCTGAAGGAGAAGACGCTTCAATGGCTCTGGGGTCGCAATCTGAATGTGAGCGAAAAGTTTACACCGACGCAGATGTGCCAGGAGCTTGGCAAGATTTGCCATTGGCGCCCTTGAGTGTGAAAAATTAAGGTGATGACGCCGCCGGCCACAGGCCACCGGTCACGGCGTGACCTAGCTGGTTAGTTCAACCAATAGGTAGATGGCAATCTAGGAGTCTAACCTTCAAAATACAGAACAGTAAAATCCTACCATAAAAGGGTCTAAACATGGTGGTTGACTGTTCAATCTTTTTGGTGGTCGAATTGGAGGAGGATAAGACAGCAATATTTTTAGCCATCAACTTAGCCATCATTTTCAGTATTCCATCAGGTAGTCATCATGTACAACAATTTCGAGCCCACTCTGGGTTACGCATCTCACCATTTTCGTTTCACAAACTTTCCACTGCCAGTTGCTACAATGTGGTGCTCGCCAGTTCGTCTACAAAAAAATATGTATGTATGTATGTATGTATGTATGCATGTATGCATGTATGCATGTATGCATGTATGCATGTATGCATGTATGCATGTATGCATGTATGCATGTATGCATGTATGCATGCATGCATGCATGGATGCATGGATGCATGTATGCATGTATGCATGTATGCATGTATGCATGTATGCAGGTATGCAGGTATGCACGTATGCACGTATGCACGTATGCCTGAATGCCTGAATGTATGAATGTATGAATGTATGAATGTATGAATGTATGTGTATGTATGCCTGTATGCATGCATGCATGCATGCATGTATGCATGTATGCACGAATGCCTGAATGTATGAATGTATGAATGTATGTATGCATGTATGTGTATGTATGCCTGTATGCATGCATGCATGCATGTATGTTCGTATGTATGTTATGCTATGCTATGCTATGTTATGTTATGTTATGCATGTATGTTATGTATGTTATGTATGTTATGTATGTTATGTATGTAAGGTATGTAAGGTATGTAATGTATGTAATGTATGTAATGTATGTAATGTATGTAATGTATGTAATGTATGTAATGTATTTAATGTATTTAATGTATGTATATATAATGTAATGTAATGTGTGTAATGTAATGTAATGTAAGGTAGTGTAAGGTAATGTAAGGTAACGTACTGTACTGTACTGTACTGCAATGCAATGTAATGTAATGTAACGTATGTATGTATGTATGTATGTATGTATGTATGTATGTATGTATGTATGTATGTATGTATGTATGTATGTATGTATGTATGTATGTATGTATGTATGTATGCAGGCATGCATGCATGTATGTATGTATGTATGTAAAATATGCTAGCATATATATATATACATATAATTATAATTCATATATATATATATATATTATATGTATATATGTCTACCATAAACACCGGCGCCCAACCCAGCACCGTGCCGAGCGTCGGTAGAAGAAGCCCAAGCCCGAGCCCAGCAGACGGACGGACAGCTCCAGACCGAAGATGGCTGTGTAGGCGGCGTCCACCACCTGCCCGAAGGGCCCGAAGGGTCTGTTCTTTTAGACAGCCATTGGGTTTTTTGGTTGAAAAAAAACATGGGTAAATTAAACATCTGGGTTTTTAGACAGCCATTGTTTAGACAGCCATCTGTTCTTTCTAAAACCATGAAACAACATGGGTAAATTATTGTTATGGTCATGGTTGACAGAATTGTATAGAATTGTTGAAATAGAAAACACATCCAGTTGTCTGTTGATTAAGTACAACAATTTGAATCGGAGTTGGATGAATCTATGTTGGAGATACCTACAGCTGAAAGGGCGGAAGCAAAGCGACTTGTAGCTGGAGGGCTCCACTTTGTGACTACAGTAAGTCAGTTGAAAAAAGTAGGTCAAGTGTTGGATTTCAGGTGAATAAACATTTGTGTACGATAAAACAATCTTACGGTGGAATGGCTCAGTGGTTGAGGCATGGGAGTCGAGTCTCCTGCAGGATTATTGACAAAGACACCATCTCAATGCACCAGCTTTTTTTTAGACTTGAGTCCACGTAGTACATGAACTTATAGCAACCTGCTTCCCAAGAAAAGAAGGAACAGCTCCGCGCATTTAGCAAGTCTACGCTGTCTACGCTCATGTATTCATTGTAAGCTTAGATACATTACAGAAAATATATGGATGCTTTTCTCCCATTTGTGGGAACGAAAGCCGATAAATCCACCATTCGCCAAGCTACTGTATATAGGTTACATCTCAATGAGTGCCGGCCAAAAAGAGTCATGATGCCTTGTTTAATGAATATATCTCGTGCACTGGTTGCGTTGAAGGATGGTTGTATCCAACTCATTGTTGCTACTGGACTGAGCGATTGCAGGTTGAAAACATCCTGTTTATCGGTTGTATTGTGTTGAATTTATACTACTGTGTAATGTATCGGTATCCTTCTCTGCTTGTTGCAACTGTCGCAACAGTCAGGCTTCATCTCCTTTTTTCCCCGCCGGAAAGCCGACAACCAACCCTGGGGTGGTTGGAATGGCACTGATGTAGAACTCGAACACACAGTTGCACTATGTAATATACTCAAAATCATCCAAAATCATCCAAAATCATCCAAAATATATGGGATGGGGAATCTTCAATGAGTATGTGTCTCAAGGGTGGTATGCTGCTGAACACACTGCACAACCTATGGTCTAACCAGTCTAACCCATATAGCCGCACCGTGAAGACCAGGGGTTGCTCTTCTCCGAGTCTTTTGGCCATGTAGTCCTTTGGCGTGGCGAATGGAGGCGAAATCATGGGATAGAAACACATAGAAAAATGCAGGTCAAAGGGTGGAAAACCACAATGAAATTCGAATGCACAGTGGGATTACCCAAGGAGATGGAAAAACACGTCACCAAACAAAAAGGGCAAGTTACAGGTTGTCTATCTTTTTCGGGACCTTTATAACGCCTAAGAAGCAGCTTAAACTGAGCCCTTCAAATTCAAATTGCAAAGATCATGTCAGAAAGTCATGATCAACCTGGTCTTGCAGTTTATCTTAAGCCTTAAAATCTTAAGATCTAGGATCTAGTGATCCTCGGGTTTTACTCCAGCAAGAAAGTGGAGAAACCATCATTCACCATAGAAATCGTCAGTTATTCGATGATTTTTCCATTCAAAGCCCCATTTATTTGGGAAAATTTTGGGCCATGGGGATGATCTGATCCCACGAATCCACGAATCAATTATCCAGATATATTGGACTGTTGGTTAATGGATGTTAATGGTGAAAAAAAGAGGACTAGGACTTTTTCCATGGATGATTTCAGAATATTTTTGAGAATCCCCAAGCTGTGGATGTCTGATGAATCATGATGTCACAACTGTCGCGGAAGCCAGATCCATTTCGCATCCCTTGGGTCAAAGCCTTGGTGCCTTGGTGCCTTGGGACTTTTCCATTTTGACCCATTTTGACAGCCAAATGGAGCCCTGGTCAAAGCCCTTGCACCCTGGCTTTCAACCCAAATAAGTGTGGTATGATGTGTGATGTTCATCTGTATGATTGTAGGTTTTGACCCATCACTTGCAACGCCTGACATACCTTACTCAGTTTGCTACCGCACAAATATGGGTTAAGGTAAAGGATAAATAGTACAATAATAGTAAGATCGAGTACAATAGTAAACCTTACTTCCAACTACTATCAAATCAGTTTCTCAGAAATCAACAATTAACAAACGTGCATGTATCGTATCGCAAGTACAATAATTCATTTCAAGTATTTCGAACATCTGCGTTTACTCAATGTGGCAAACTTCTTTTTTTGGTACAGTATAGTACAGAACCACGTGTGACCATCACTCCTAGGCTCCCAGGATAGAACTAGGTGTGATGAGCCTCCCAGTCAAAAATTGCCCAACTATTGGAGAGATCCTCACCAAGCATCCACAAGTATCCAAAAGTGACGTTCAAAATCCCGCAGACCGGACATTTATCGACCAATTCTTAGAAACATCCTGAAACATCTACAGCTTCCCATTCTTTTTTGGCTTTCCTCGGTGGAGCATTCAGAAAACCAAACCAATGACTGCGACCAGCTGCAGTTTGCACTCCAATCAGAATGGAGTTGGTGAAAATGACTCCAGCGCAAATACCTGAGCCACACCGATCACACAGTCACATTTTCATACATTTTCCAGGCTGGGTATGGCTGCAACAAGGAATTACCATGGTGGGCAAATAAAGGCTATTTATAAATCAATATGGCAGTGTGTCAAAACGTTGTACCCCTGGTGAACATCAAAATAGCTGGTAAATGGATGTTCATCCCACTAAAAATGTATCTATAGGTATTGACCCATACCCATATATTCTAAAGGCATCGCAGAGATAAAGCAACAACTTGTCTCCAAGTTGTTAGCTTCAGTGGAGCTGCTGATCCCATGTCACGATGCTTGTGCTACGCCACGTTTTCATACGGGGGAATCTGCATCAAACCATAGTTACCCTTTGGTAAACATACAAAAAACTATGGAAAATCACCATTCTTAATGGGAAAATCCACTATAAATGGCAATTTTCAATAGCTACGTTAAATTACCAGAGGGTATTATAGTTGTTCTGGTAGGGTGCCATCCTAGACTGGTGGTGCATTCATCATTGATATACAAACACATCAATGTATGTGCTGATTGCCATTTCGATCATTAGCTGATTTCTCTGCTTATTTTCCGTTGTTAGAAATCCCAGTTACTGCCCGCTTGTGTTGAGGATGCTAAGATCAGCTCAAAAAAAAAAACTATCATTGTGACTGCATCCCACAAACATAATTTCAAATTCAACAATGGCTAAGCATCAACACATCCTCTATCAACATGGCTAAGCGCTCAAGGTTTGCTCAGATCTCAATTCGCATGTTGGTTTGCACCATGAATTGGTCAATGCTGGTGTTCAATTGATCCCTCTATCATTCCATTGGTTGGTTCACCAAGATTCCCCCAATGAAATTCTGATCATCCACCCCAAAAAATGGTGGGTATAATATGGTATAATCCCCCAAAAAAGTACTCAACCAACCGAGGTTTTGAACACTGATATCATTTGAAAATCCTTCAGGAGGCCAGGTGGCTCTCCATCAAGGCAGTCTGCATGAAGTCGCGCAAGCGAATTTGCCAATGTTCGGTGTGACCTCGGGACGAACAAATGGTCGATCAGTCAAACAAATGACAGGTGACACGTTGGTGACACGTTGGTAACACGTTGGTGACACGTTGGTGACACGTTGGTGACACGTTGGTGACTGTTGATATGTGCTGATCATATTGATGGATTTCGGATGATTTGGGTCATGCTTGATGGGTTCTTTCTGTTGACCCCAGTAATTTTGGAGGCGGCAAGCCTGGCCTATGCATATCAGGGAACCGCAATATTGGTACAATTGGGCATAGGTATGTCCCAGTGGACCAGCATAAACTTTGAATACCATCTGATGATTCTGGGTAAATTATAATATTTCACTAACCTGAATTAAGGCCATTTGGGGATGGTTTCTCCTTATTAACCATGATTCCAGTGAGGTCGCAGTGAGGTCGTTATAATTTACCCAGATGATTCATGAAAAACATGGAACTGCTGACCCCATCAAATTTTGCAAATTGACATATTTTGACACTCTTTATCCTTCTGCGCCATGTTCGATGCCAAACACACCACGAGGGCCCCTATTTGGGGCCAACGTAAAACGCCTTGGAATTCCTGTTCACAGTACCTACTTTGGACTGGGCGCATTGAGTGCATATCTTGGTAAAGGAAAGTCCGTTACATTGTCAAGGAAACGTGATGAAAGGGACACACACACAAAAAACATGTGCAGCATTGTTTACTTGGTACTTATTTATAAAGTTAATACCCAGTGCCAACCTATCAACCTTAACTCAACCTTAACTATGTATACAAGTTGTTAATATAATGTGTCAAACCCGACCCGTATTTCTTTGGTCTCAGGTAGTGGGGAAGCCACCCGATTACCGCTGCGATACCGCTCATTGAACAATCAATTTGAACCACCAAGTAGGGAATTAAGGTGTGCCCTGAACCAGTTATAAAATGTTATAAACCCTCATGAGCTGTTTCAAAAACCTATTGGTAATTCCTTGTTAATTTGAACACCCAGTGGCACTACCGTTAGAATGGTTGGTTCATATGGGGAATAAACATCCACAAACCAGCTATTTTAGGTACGATGACACCGCAACGACAATGCATCGTCCTTCAAAAGCCAGTGGAATTTCCCTTTACGGGGTGTATGGATGCCAAAACCACATGAGTAAATGGGAGTATGACCACCTGCCAGTCTGGGGAAGTATAAACATGAATAATTCCTTCCCCCTAATATTAAACACCCCCAGAAACCATGGTTTGGCAAAAGATTTATGCATATTCGGGATTTAGGGGGTGTTCAATATTACGGGGATGGGTTTGATCCTAGCTTTGACCACATCACATATTATGTCATCTGTCCATGTTGCAAGTCAAGCTGCCACTTGAGACTTGCCTCGTCAGCCGTTTGGTCTCTCTATTTTGCAACCTTCTGGCTTTCCTCAGCCACGTGCAACATTTATGAAGCTCTGCTGTCTATGTCTGTGCTGGCTCACGGGAATTTCTTATGATATACAACTATGTGTGTACATATATATATAATAATTATATGTACATCTATCTATATGTAGGGGCAAGGCTTGGGGCACCCCGGAGCTTCGAGGAACCTTGAGTCTTGCCATCTAATGTACAGGTGGGGAGGGTGTAATAACTTGCTGTGGACGGCGTAAGATGAAAGATGTTGTTACGTTGATCTTCGTTGTGGTATACAGATGCGGGTGGGGGGAGGGGGTGGTAATAACGTCGTGTGGAAGATGTTGAAGATGTTGCTACGTTGAAGATGTCGTTACGTTGAAGTGGTTGAAGATGTTACAACGTTGAAGATGTTAAAGATGTTGCTACATATTGAAGATGTTATTACGTTGAAGATGTTGTTACGTTGAAGATGTCGCACCGAGCAACGGCTTCAAAACGGCGCTGTGGACTTGAGGTTGAAAAAGAAGGATGCGCATTTTGTCCATGGTTATCTGGAGGATAATGCCTTTTTCACGTGATCAATAAAAGAGCTGAAACTCTATCAGCATGCAATTCTACGGGTTTGTACGAAATCAACTTTAGATGACGAACATGACAAAGAAGAAAATTTGTGTTTCCCGCGCCAACAAAATCCAACTATGTTGGCGACGAAATGAATTCATTCAGTGTATTACAACTTCCATGAACACCATAAAACATTGTAAAACACAGAACAAATTACATTTCCAAATCTTAGTCCAGCTCCACTTCAATTGCGTTCCAGGGAACCTCAAGCCTTTACCCTGTATGTTTATATATATATGATTATATATGCATTATATATTATATATAAGATTTATACACGTGCACATGTATCTGCATTGCTCGTCTTAGATAGCCAGCCACAAATGAACACATGAATTCTTGGTTGCTAATTTCTCTGTTTTGCATGTGTGGCAAAACAATGCAAAACGTATAATCCACTCTTGTTCAGGTTTGATGGGGAACACATGGTGAAGAAAATTCCCAAGAGGAATGAATAACATGGGAACAAAGGTAGACACCGATCAAAAATCTTGACAAGTATAAGTATAATTTATCGGAAAACAACACAGAATATACAGTATACCCTCTGGTGCCCTCAAACGTGGCAATGGACAATCCCCTATAAATGAAGGTTTAATGGGACAATCATCTATAAATGGGGAATTGTCTATTGCCACGTTTGACTACCGGAGTGTAATTCACAACCTAAAATCACCATAGTGGGTTGTTTGCTATATATATATATAATAGTCGTGTTGTTCGATACCGCAGCGTTTGAAAGGTTTCTATCATGTGCACGTAATTCAATGTTGACACATCACCAAGTCTGATTTATGCAATCATTTGGATTGTCATTTGTAAAGTGCTTCGGAGTGCGTGATGATTGTGTCACCTCATCCTGATTGGTCAAGGGTTTGCCAACATCAGGGTGTTAAGTTGACTCTGGGTCATACATTCGCAAAGTTTCCCGTTGCTTGTGGGGATTTGGGTTTGGCTTGTCATAGGGCATCAATGGATTCACAAAATCAGTCAGCGTCAAATAAATCATGCTTTTCGTAAAGAATCGTGTCCACAAAACATAACATGACTCTTCAGAGCTTCAAGAGATATGGTCAAACTTCTATACACCAGTCGCGCACCCAAAATTGATCAACATTGGATGTTGAAACTCAACAAAACAATGTCTGCAGAAGGGGTTAAGTGACCTGGTGAAAGTGCCCGCTCTAAACTCGGCAGTATCTCCTTCAACTTGCCAAAAAAACCTATCCCTATTATATCCGACTTAGTTGTGAAGGGGTTTGCTTCAAAAATGAGACCCCAAACCAGTTCTACTTATCACAATTTCCTGGTGTTTCATCCCCGCTGGACAAAAAACATCCAATTTTTTGATAAACATAGGTCAACATAGATGCTAGTTCTGGATGTCCATAGCCATGTGCCTCCAAATCAAAGGCAAAATAATATGGTAGAATCACCCATCTTTATGTTAAGAACCACCAGCATCTGTTCAAGCTTGCCAACCCCGCAGACGTTGGTCTATTTTGATGCTGCAATGGGTTTCAGTGGGTCCAGTGGGTTTCAACCCCCGTTGGTTTCAACCTGGGGGGGGGCAGGGTAAGGTTTTTGCAGGACATTGAACCTGGAAATCACGCATTCGAATATGTTGTTCACATTTTGTGAACAACTTTGTAAACATGTCATGTTGGAGCTCGACGCTCCCGTTTTGACAGTATTTGCAACACTTTGGAGTTCGAACCTCCAATTTTCGATGGCTGGTTTGAAACTTACTTACAGTTGGTTCAGGGAATTTGAGGGTTGGTTTAGGGTTTATTTAGAGTTGGTTGAGGGGTTATTTAGGGCGTACGGGTTATTGACATGTTTGTTTGGGTTCATTTAGGGTTGGGTTAACATTTATTCATTGGTGGTTTAGGGTTGAGTGAAGCTTGGTTTGGGGTCTATTTAAAGTTGGTTCAGAGTCCAATTACGCTTGAGTTAGGAATTATTTAGGGTTGGTTTAGGGCTAGTTTAGGGTTGGCTTATGGTTTACTAGGCGTTGTTTAAAATCCATTTAGGGTTGGTCAAAGGTTCTTTTTCGGTTTCGTTCAAGTTTTATTTAAGGTCGGTTTAGTGTTCGTTTGCGGTTTATCTAAGGATTTAAGATTGGTTCAGGGTAAGTTTATGTAGGGTTCAGGGTTTATGTAGGGTTGGTTTAGGATCTTCGTTTGAGATTTATTGAGGGTTGGTGTTTAGTTTATTTAGGGTTGGTTGAGGGTTTATTCAGGGTTTATGTAGGTTTGGTTTTGGGAGTTTATGTAGGGTTGGTTTTAGGGTTAGTTCAGGGTTGCTTAAGGATTTATGTAGGTGCTGTTATTTTTTAAAGGGTTTGTTCAGGATGTATTTCGGGTTGGTTCGTGGTTTGCTTAGGTACACGTTGGTCCATGGTTTCTTTAGGGGTGGCTTAGGGTTGTTTGGGGGTGGTGTAGCGATTATTTGAGATTGGTTAAAGGTTGATTTAGGTTTCCTTTAAACATATTTAAGGTTGGTTTAGGTTTCGTTTAGGGTTTATTTAAAGTTTGTGTAGGGACTATTTAGGGTTGGTTCAGGCTTAGTTTAGGGTTGCTTTAGGGATGGTTTAGGGTTCGGTTGAGACTTAAGACTTACTTAGGCTTGGTTTAGGGTTTGTTTAGGGGGTGGTTTAAGTGTTATTTTTGTTATTTTCTACGGTTGGATTTCATCAATTAAGGTTTCTTCAAGAGTATTTTAAGGCAGTAGAGTCACCAACGGAAGGAAGACCAAGAGGACCAAGAGACCACGGGACCAGTGGGACCAGAGGACCGGGGGATACCAGAACTTTTGAAAAGGGCCAAAACACTGCACGAATATCATGAATATCATGAATACATTAGATATTTTTTAATTGACGCCTTAAACAATTTAAACAGTTATTTGTTGATGTCTTATTCCCCACCTGCCAGGTGAGGGTTGTTAGATTTTATGTCAGTTGCCTCCTCGTCCTCCTCCTCCTTCTCCTCCTCCTCCTCCGCCTCCTCCTGCCTCGTCCTCCTCTCCTCCTCCTCCTCGTCCTCCTCGTCGTCCTCGTCGTCCTCGTCGTCCTTGCTCAACTGCGACCGCGATCCACTGTGTTCTCTGCCGGACCTCAACCACGACCATCCACGCCCAGTGTTCCCTGCCGGACCTCAACCACGACCATCCACGCCCAGTGTTCCCTGCCGGACCTCAACTGCGAGTATCCACGCCAAGTGTTCCCTGCCGGACCTCATGTAGGAATGTCAGATAGACTGGCAGATAGAATGCCAGATAGAATGTCAGATAGGATGCCAGATAGAATGCCAGATAGAATGCCAGAAAGAATGCCAGAAAGAATGCCAGATAGAATGCCAGATAGAATGTCAGATAGGATGCCAGATAGAATGCCAGATAGAATGTCAGATAGGATGCCAGATAGAATGCCAGATAGAATGCCAGAAAGAATGCCAGAAAGAATGCCAGATAGACTGCCAGATAGAATGTCAGATAAAATGTCAGATATAATGCCAGATAGAATGCCAACATATATGCCAGAATATATGTCAGATAGAATGCCAAAATATATGTCAGATATAATGCCAGATAGAATGCCAGAATATATGCCAGAAAATATGTCAGATAGAATGCCAGAATATATGTCAGAATAAATGACAGGTAGAATGCCAGAATATATGTCAGATGAAATGTCAGAAAATATGTCAGACAGAATGCCAGATAGACTGCCAGATAGAATGCCAGGTGGAATGTCAGGATATATGCCAGATAGAATGCCAGAATATATGCCAGAATATATGTCAGATAGGATGTCAGAATATACTAAATATATGTCCAAATATACGTCCTGACATGTCATGGTGGGGATCACACGAAGTAGAGTAATTTTTTTTGAATCCAATGCCTAATTATATCCCAATGAATCACTATATGATTATTCCAATTTTCCTGGTGAAAGCCTTACGATTGTTGGTCAAACATCACGATTATTGAGAGTTATATTTCCCATTCAACCAGGAGTCGCCAAGGCCGCTTGGTACGCGGCTTCATCTTCGCGCTGGAGCAGGGCGGTCCTTGGTGGCTGGGAATGGGCATACGCGCCAAACTCTGTGGTACTTGGAATCCCCACAAATGTGCCCAAACTAACGAAACCAACAAAGATTGAGGACAATGACGTTGTGTGCTTTTGGGATTCCACTTTCTAGACTTTAGATTTACTGTAACCGGCTGGTGCAAACACTCAAACAGCACATGCTCAGCAGGATGCTTTGAGATGGCTTAAATGCCACCAAGCGAGACAGAACACCTCTAGATTTGATGTTCCTACCGTGCAGGTGAAATTTAATTTTTGGACCTCTCTGATGTCATGGCTTTAGGGAATATGTGGGAATATCATATATGCAAATATATATATATATATATATAAATAATGTATATACACATGTACATGTGTGTATGTATTATATATATATATATATTATGTATATATATATATATAAATGTAGGTTTCCGAAAATGGGGGTACTCCAAATCATCCAATATTAGACCATTTTGTCCCTGGACCCATGGTGACTGGGGATCCCACATTTTAAGAAACCCCATGTGGGTAATACCTTTTCTATCCTTTTGGGGGTTGCTACACTATTACACACTATATTTACTATATATATATATATACACATATATATATATATACACAGTATATATAATCATATATAATGTATATGGGGGAGTGCCATAAATAGGGGATCCCCAAACTGGTTGGTTTATTTTCTGGAACAAAGAAAATGGAGGATTATCCTGGGTGACTTTGGACACCTCCATCTTATTGAAAAAATAAGATTTTCATGGAATATTCATGTAACTGCGAACTATAAGAATAGAATCTTCAGGGGATATGATTGCAATTATGGCCCGACTAGGACTTCTAAATGGCTTTATAATAGGAGTTATAGGAGTTATAGGAGTTATATTTCCATTTATAATATGTTTTAACTGTTAATGACCATACCTCTGGGATATCATGCATACAAATATATACATATATATATTATACATACATACATATATTTATATTTATAACCATATTCTATCTACTTCAGGATTATCATATACTTATATATATATAATATCACATTATACTACATATATATATTATATATTATGTATATATATATTATATATTATGTATATATACATAATATATATATATACACATATTATGTATATATATATATTATGTATATATGTATATACATAATATATATTATATGTCTACATATTCATTCATCACTGTCACGCGCTTTGGGTCCGTCCCAGCCACGTGGGCGGCGTCTGATCCGAAAAAAGCGACATGTCCGACGTCCGCGAGGTCACCGCGAGCTCAGCCTCATAGGTCGCGTCATCGTCCCGTGGCTCGCTCCAGAGAGGCCTGGTGCAGCGCTTCCCCGGGGGCGATGGTTTTGGGCGATGGCACCGTGAAACATGGTGGTTTTATCGCATTAAAATGGTGGCTTTATATGATATATATGATTTTATCGTAAGAAATGATGGTTTAACCATGAAAAGTGGCGGCTAAACTGTGAACATATGAGGATTGAACCCCGGAAACGTTGGGGATACCCAACCATGGATAAAACCAATAGGGATTTCATATAATGAATGCAGCTTATAAACTGCGTATAAGACAAACCTTCAAAATATGCAGGAAAAACATGACTTTTGATCCTCGAACACAGTGATCCCAACGGAAAGCTGCATCATGTTGTTTGGTAGTCAATTTCTCGGTGGTTCGTAAGTGCAGACCCTTAATTTTTTGCCATGTGATATTCTTATTGTTGGTCGGTATTGCATCCAAATATATATATATATATACTCTATGTATATATATATACATATCATTAAAAGAAAAAACAATTGCAGAATAATTAGTCATCATTTCCTAGGCCATTCGGTGGTTGGTTAAAGTTACGTTGAAATACTCTCTTCAAGTACATGGCTTGACATGGCAGCGTTGGCTCCCCATTATGTTGGTTATATTTACCTTGATCCTCAAAGTCTCCAAACAGGGAAACTGTATGTTCTTTTTTTTCCTGTAAAACGTGTGTATATATAATATAATTACACCTAGATTACACCATGTTTCAGGCAAATATCTTGACGGTTTGGGACAGCAAGAAAAGGTTCCGTATGGTTCCGTCAGCAATTCCCCCTGCACCTCGGCTCTGTGTCACCCGGCGCTGTCACCGCGCCTGCATGGCCAAGTTTTGGATTACCCATATATCTATATATATAGAGGTGTCCTAAGTCATCGGGGTACCTCTAAACCATCCATTTTAATCGGATTTTCCATTATAAACCAACTATTTTTGGATACCCCATGGATAATGACCAAATGAAAGCCACCAATGACATGGACAACCATATGGACAACATGTTTGTCCATTGATATCCATGAAAGCCACCATTCGCTGTTCAAATGGATCCAACGGGCGAAGTGGTCGAAGAAATCTCACTCTTCGTCTCAGCCCAGAAGAACATCTGGTGGCAATAAGGATAATGTACTGCGGTAAATATGCACATTTGTGGCAAAATATTAGTGTATTAAAATACCAATCATCCAAGATTCGCCCAGAGATGAGGTACATGCAATAAATTCCTATTGATGTTTGGGATTTCCTGCAAATTTGGATCACTTCTTGGATGCTTCAGCCAGGTGCTGCCTCACTCAGGCGAGTCTCAATCGTCAAGTGGTGGATCAGTGGATCACTAATCAACTGGTGCTGGTGGCTGCTACCAGGATCCCCACAAACACAAACCAGTTGATGCATTTTTGCCTAGATGAGAAGTACTTGAACATCAACATCAGTTGAATTTCTGAATGATGTGTTACTGTTCAACAACACATTTCAATTTCCTGAGCACATGGTGAACCTTCTGTACACTGGACAATTTTGTAATGTTTTGTTCTGCAGGTCCCAAGTTTCGACCCACAACCAAGTGGAAAATATACAAGGCTCCCAGCAAAAATCTCTCCATAACCTGAACACTTTGTTTATGCCGTTCAACCCTTACTTAACACCAAAAAATTGACGTTTGACACCGGAAAAGTATTTGCAAAATTAATATGGCAGTGGGTAAGCACCTCTTCACAGCGGGTAGCTCACTCTTTCTCTATTGGGCTCGAAGTCGTTCAATCTCTTTGCAAGATTCTAAAAGTCTCTGAAAAGGGGCTACGGCATATATACAACATGCATGCCATAGCACAAACAGACATGACTGTACTAGGCGCTACATCTCTACATGCCTCCCGAAGGAGTGCCTCTGATTCAACAGAGTGCGAGTGAGAATTTGCGGGACTGTACATGTCTAGTCACTTTACCCTAGCCTGGCTCAGCCCCATTGTTCTTCATGCGCCAAGTGCTAAATGATGTCTTCCTCCGCAAAAGCGATAGTTCAGTTTCTCTAAGAGCATTTTCATTCGGCCTGCATCCAAGGGTTTGGTAAACAGGTCCGCGAGCATTTCTTGAGTGCTCTTGTTGTACAACTTTGCCTTTCCAGTCAAAACGGCATCCTGTGACCACACAAATACTGTATCTATGTGTTTGACCTTTCCCAATCCATGTCGGCTACCAATTGAAAGTCCCGTTGTTGCATCCATGCAACCGATGATGGGAACATGCACTCCCCAGTCACGAAGTTGAGACTGTTCTCCGAGTGCTTGGCAAAGTCCGGACACTAGTCCATAGTATTCGGCTTCTCCGGAGCTCAATGCTATCACGGCTTGTGACTTGCAGGTTGTCCGGATTGTGCAACGACCTAACTGTAAAACTGTGCCCGTGGTTGACTTCCTAGACCTAATACATCCTGCATGGTCGGCATCGACCCAAAGTTCCAATGAAGTAAATTGCTTTTGATTCGGAAGCAGGTGTATCATTCTCGGATGCGAACGAAGATAGCGAACTCCACGTTTCAACATCTGCAAATGTGCTTGAGTTGGTCGCTTCAAACCTTTCGCTAGTTCCTTTCCAAGAACCAACAAATCAGGTCTATCTTGTGAAAGATACGCCAATCCCATACTTGCAGAACGATACATAGCTGAAGTCTCTTCGTCCAACTCCTCAGAAGTCAAAGCCTCTTCGATCCGCTCTTTGATCAAAGGCGTTGTAACCTTCGATCCTTCACAACCAACCTCTTGAAGAAGTAGGTCCACATGTCTTGGATCGGCTTCCATTTCAATGCCCTTGTCTGTCCACGTCACCAAGCGATTCAAGATAACAATTGAGTGATCCACATCTTTCATAGATGGGGGTCCCAAAATACCTTGAACATCAATCGTCCAGTGTTTGCGAAGTTCGGCGGCAAACCATTCGAACTCTGCTTTCGGTCCTACTCCGGTGAAATTGTCACCGTGCACCTCGATGTGAATTTGCTTCTCGGCGTGGTAGTACAAACATGAGTTGCTTTTGGCTTTCTGAAAACCAATTAACATCATCGCTGCTTTGATTGCTGCCTCCCAGTTGGCTGGAGCGTCGCGGGTTCCATAAAGAGATTTCCGCAACAAACCCACTTTGCCAGGTGGATATCCCATTCCGCTTGGGAGTTCAACCAACAATCTTCTACGAGCAGGGCTCCAAAAATGAGCTTTCTTGACATCAATGGAAATCAAGCACGTAGTTGGATCCATTTGGGCTAACTTACCTTCAAGGTTAGGTACCCTCATGGTCACGGCCAAAGTAAATAATGCGCGAAGTGCTGTGATTGGCGGCATAGAAGCAAAGAAATCACTCCAGTGTGAAGGTGTGTCTCCTTTCTGCTTCAGTTCTCTTGCCACGAATCTTGAGCGATACTTGGGATGTGTCTCATCCCCTTTGTTCACATCCACCCAACGAGTGGAAATGACTCGCTCATTGGCAGGTCTATCGATGACCTCCCAAACACCCATAGCATCAATCACTTGGCATTCTTCTCGACGTGCCTCCTGCACCTTTGCGGTGTCCAATGGCTTTCCCGAAACGTTGTCCCAGTGGAGTGGCTCTTCTGGGTCAATCCCAAAGTTCTCTTCACAAACAGGCAAAATTGAACAGTCACCTGAAACTTGAGTGCGAAGTGCTCCAAGAAAACCTTGTCTTTGAGAAAGTAAAACGTTTGTAATTTGTAAGGGAAGTTTCGACGTCTTCCATTGGATCAGAGCTCAGACCAGCTTGCTCTACATCCCTCTTTGTTCCAGGCTGGCGTGTTGAAGCAACACTGCCTCCCGGCTGCTCAGGGTCTTCAAGCCTAGGATCCTGTGGTGGATCCTCTGCAAGTCTCTTGATTCCTGATCCACTTGAAGGTCCAGATGCTCGTTCAACACCAACATCTTGAATAGCCAATCTTTGTCTCTTTGAAGCATCTTGTTTGGCTTCCTCTTCTCTGTTGGTTGCAATTTCAATTCTCCTACGTCCATACTCAGTCTCTTGCAACCTTTGGACTATCCTCAAACGACAATCCTCTGCATGATTGACTCCTTGACGATCTAAACCAGAGCGTATAAGTGCACAAGCTTTGCAACCAGCACTGTAACCAAACTTGCCAAAATCATCTTGTCGAAGATAAACACGTCTGAAGTGTGGTTTCAATTCACTGGTTTCAACTTGTCTGACCTCTTCCTCTGGTTGTTCTGGTTCAACCGACACTGGCTCTGGAAGTTCCAGTGCCTCTCTTGTCTCTTTCTGCTTTGCTGGATTAGGGGCCCATGGTGTACCAGTAATTGATTGTAGTAGCTGCAAATTCCACTGTTGATCATCTGGTTTACGTCTAACCGATTGTACAACAACAACTCCTTTGGGGGTTCCAATGATCTTCTCAGTAGTGTGAAGTCGTACTCCAAGAAAAATACCAGATTCCCAACGCGGCTCCAACTTGTGGTTGGTCTTGACTCTGTAGTCTACACACTCACCAAAAGCTGGAAGTGCAACTGTCCAATCACGACCCTTGATGCGTCTGAACGCTGTCAAACCGTCTCGAGCTTTCTCATCAAATGAAAATAAAGTATACAAAGTGCCAACATACTCGATCAACCATCCCAAGATAGGTGATCTTGGGTCCAACTGTTGTGCAACTTTGTGTTCAACATGGTCCTTGAGCGTCCTGGCTAAACCTTGTGTTTCCCACAGATGATTCAGCTTCACCGTTTGACATACCATGGCTATCTCCTTTTAGGCTATTCTCCAACTGCACTGAAATACCTTGTGATGACAAAGTGTTCTTGACTGCTGTAGCCAAAGCGATAATTGATGGCTCTTGATCTGATTTCAAAGTCAAAGAAGTGTAACCAAGAAATTTGATGTCTCTCAAGAGCGCAATCTCAGGGTAGTAGTGTTCTGTGCCTTTAGCAGGAACCAAATGTGAAAAGATTGCTTTGGTGAAACGGTCACGCACAACCAAAACTGGCATCTTTTGTCCACCAACAGCATCAGCCGGTAGTTCTCCAGGCGAACCAAAGAAACCATAGTCTAGTGATACAACAGGACGGCCTTCATCATCCTGACTGTGGTCAACTGCTTTGTGGGAGAACGATTTACTACGTCCTCTAGCACAGTGACTGCACCCCGACCTAAATGGTACATGGCAAACTTCATGAGCCTTCACCATCTCTGATGTAGGCCTTGCTGGAATTGGCAATGGCTTGGCTGAAGCTCCAGCATCTTCTTCAGCTAGCGCTTGACCCAAAGGTCTTATGGCTTTCCCTGCCTTTGAAAACTTTCATCCTCTTTTCCATCACCTGGACACCAAATCCAAGTTGGGATTTTCCAAACACCATTCCTGTAGTAGATCTTGATGGACTTGCCGTTCTTCAAGATGATCTGGCCTCCTTCTGGTGTCATCTTCACAGTGTGCCCCAAGCTTGTCATCTTGCCCACACTGAGTAGCGGCTTTGCGCTATCCACCACTGAACATGTTCCAGTCAAAACCAATCCACATTGAAATGCCATCTGAACAATCTTCTGTCCCAAGTTTGGGATGATACGTCCATCTGCGAGCGCAACGTCTTTGAAACCTTGAGGTGGCTTCATAGGAATCCCTGGTAGTACACCAACTGGGAGAGTGTTGTCTGATGCACCACTATCCACAATGAAATCCACACGGCACCAATTGTTTCCTTCTGGCCCATCACGTCTTGGTGGCAGCTTGCTTGGGGGTCCAAAGCTGTTCAGCTCTCCTCTATGGCCTTCTCCTTCACTTGCTTCAGCCCTCATTTCATCGTCTGTGGGTTCCAAGCCCACTAACTCGGCAACTTCTTCCAGACTTTCTTCGTCTGAAGCCGGCCCCATACGTCCCTTTGCGATCTTCAATGGTCCTTGAACACGACGATGACTGAAGTCGATTCTAGGTCTCTCCTCAACTTCTTTCTGCTTGGGACCTTCTTCTCGGGACTTGGGCTGTTGTGAGCCGCTGTAGTGGCTCTCCCATTGGTCGTGCTCCCAATGGGACCTCTTTCCCCAGCTGCCTTGCCACTTGCTGGACCAACCCTTTGATGATCCACCGTGGTACTTGGATGAGTAAGCCTTCGACTTGCTATCCTGGTGTGCTGAACCAGCACTGCCAGATGCTTGTTCTGGTGGCTTCCCAACTTCAGCCAGCAAGGCTTGAACTTCTGCATCATCCTCTTCTTCAGGATCTGCAATGGGCACTGCTTCTTCTTCCTCCTGCTTCTGCTTCTTCTTGGCGCTTTCCCCCTTAAGTTCTTTGAGAAGCTGTTCTTCTTTCCTCTTCTGCTGAGTCTTGCTTTTCTTTGAAGCCTTGTCCTCCTTGAATTTGGCTTTCTTCTCCTTCAACCTTCTCTTTTCACTGGGTGGAAGCTCCATACTTCTGCGCTTGACTTCAGGAAACTCCTCGTCCTGCTCGTCTTTGATGAAGGCTTTCTCCTTCTTACCCATTGATGTCCTTCTTTGCGAGGTCTTGACCTTTCTCTTCTCTCAAATCTTCCAAGTCCTCTGCAGTCTCCTCAGGTCTCTCTTCAGGTGGCTCGTCATGTGGCTCCTCATGTTGCTCCTCGGGAACCTCAACTTCTTCATCTTTCACTTCAAAAGCTTCAGATTCACCTTCTTCAATGTCTTGTGAATCGATGGTGTACTCAGAAGAGTTGTCATCGACATTCTCCACATGCTTTGAGCCAAACTTCTCTGCCTTAACCTTGGGTGTTGCCTTCAACAACACTGGCTTCTTCTTCTTCTCAACCTCAGTGGCTTCTTCCTTAGCAGGTGGCTTCTTTGCAGCAAGCTCTTTCCTCATTCTCTTCTTGCTCCTCTCGATGGCAACCTTCAAAGGTGTTGAATCAAGTTCCCAATCTTGAAGCTTTGCATTCAACAGTTGACCAGTCTTTGGATCCCAAAGTCCATAGTGTCTGCGTCCTTTTGCAACCTCATAGGGGTCTCTCTCCCAAGCATCGATTTGTTCTTGGTCTGGATGTCCATGAGTGCCAACCTTTGAACGTAGATGCTGATTGAATTGAGATGGAGTGCCAAAACCTTTGTGTTTGCAGCGCTGGTACCCACAGTAGAACTTGCCATCATAGCAGCTTTGATTGCAAACCAATCTGAACGGCATATTCCAAAACACTTCAGGGCCCTTCCAAATCTTTCCCAACATGAACTCCTTCTGTTCTCCTTCCAACGCCTTCTCATACTTGGTGAGTTCTCTCTGCCTGGGTGCTTGCTGTGCTGAATCAGCACTGGCAGCAACACAAATGGCACCTTGTTCACCAGTCTGCTCTTCCCATTGGCCATCTTTGTTTGGCCAAGCTTCTTCACTCCAAGTCTCCTGACCTTCAGCCTCAGGTTCTTCAGACCACTGCTGAGCGTCCTCTTGGTTCTCAACGGCGTATTGCTTTCCAGATTTGGATCCCATCTTGCTTTTGCCCTTTCCTTTGGGTGACTTGCCTTTTCCTTTTGGAGATTCCTTTGCACCCTTGGTACCCTTACCAGTAGATGAGCCTTTTGAGCTTGAGCCCTTGCTACTGGACGAAGATGAAGTACCCTTTGACTTGCCATGCCAACAGTCTTTGGAAACATGACCAACTTTTCCACAAGTGTAACATGTCTTGGTACTCTTACCTTTGCCTTTGCCTTGAACGTAGCCCAAATCCATAGGTGCAGCGCCACCATCATCTACCATAGACTTAGACGCCTTTTGCTCCAGGAATGAGATGACCTCACTACGCATTTTGGAGTACGTGTCAAACCTCTGGATATTGAGTTCAAAATGTTCTTCAAGATTTTCTGGCACCATAGCCAACAACACTGCTCGAAGAGTTTCGTCTGATGGTTTGGCTTGTCCCCTCGACTCATATTCCACGATGTCGGACTCAAACCTGTCTAAACTACTTCTCATAGTGGACATTGTTGACCTTGAAGGGCTAAGGATTCTCCTCAACAATCTGATGTTTGTACGATTGTTTTGAGGTTCATAGGTCACACAGAGTCTCCTCCAGGCATCAAGCCCGCACTTTTTACGGGAATTGTAGACGACATCATATGCCATCCCCTGGGTCAAGGAAACCAGTGCTACATGGAGGTGCGCATCGATGGCGTCGATGTCCTGCAGAGTGTGGCTCAAGAGATCCACATCAGTGACAGGGTCGTCACCCTTTCTCCTGGCATAGTCCAAAGCTTGTTGACCTGTAGGCCATTGGCTGCAAAACCACGTCTCAAACTTATAACTCCAAGGCTTCCATTGCTTCTGAACTTCTTCATGACTACCTTTGAGGGTATCAGGCTTTCCAATCCCTTTCACATCAACAATCCCAGGTCGAGTTGAAGATTTCTGGAGTCCTTCTGCCAGCTTCTGTAGACCTTCTCTTGTCTCTCTGGCAATCTGCGCTTGCCCTTGCTGCAACTGCAGCAGCAACTGCGCAAAGACTTGTTCTGCTCCTGCCCCTGTTGCCCCACTTGGGCTTCCACTTGGACTTCCTTGCCCACTCATTGGTAATGGGGAAACACTCTCGATGTCCTATCCAACAATGACCTTGGATAGTTCCTCAGGAATTGCCCAGTATTGGCAAACAACCTTTGCAGATGCCTCACGCTGAGAATGCTCTGCACCAATCTTATCCAATTCCGATCTGAGGCACTAGGCTGTGCTGAGTCAGCACTTGCCTGCCCTTGATCCAGATGATTCACCCAAAAGTCGGATTCCCCTGAGTCAGAGCCCAAGGGCTCCGCTACCCTGCAAAATTAATATGGCAGTGGGTAAGCACCTCTTCACAGCGGGTAGCTCGCTCTTTCTCTATTGGGCTCGAAGTCGTTCAATCTCTTTGCAAGATTCTAAAAGTCTCTGAAAAGGGGCTACGGCATATATACAACATGCATGCCATAGCACAAACAGACATGACTGTACTAGGCGCTACATCTCTACAGTATTGAACCTATATATATATTATATTATATATTATATATATCTGAACCCACCAAACATATCCAAAAATAATTTTAAGAAAAATGAGGTTTGATCGAAAATCTTGAAGCCCAATTTTTTTTCCCCATATTCTTCCCATGGCCAGGACCAAGGCGAGCGCCTGGCAGCTCAGGCTTTTCGGGCTTTTCCACCGCCAGTGAGGTGGGTGGACAGCTCCTGGGCCCACGGATTTGTTTCGTTTTTTCTTTGGAAAACTGAGGGTTTTACCATCCAACATAGATCCAGTAACAGTTTTTCCTGAAAGATAGGGTTTCTTCGGATTCTGGAACTCGAGGATGTTTCAAAGACATGGGGGTTCCAGACACTTTCAAGATGTTGAATATTTTGGAGATCCAAAAAACAACTGTAGATGTAGATGTTCGATGATGTTCGCAGAATTGGAATGCTCTCTGCGGAACATGTGGCAAGCCATGCCACTTGGATGTAGTTGGCGTGCCTATTTCTTAATGGAGCACTTGGATACACAAAAATGAATGCTAGAATCTGATCAACCATAATCTACAAGAAAGTAACTCTAAATGCTCCATAAATCTAGAAAAACGGATTAAAAGTGGCTCCCTCTACGACTTCCAAAGCGCCCGAGACGCGGATCACGGTTGCAACACAGCGGATTTCTTGGACCTTTCTGAGCCATATGGAATCATAGATGTAGTTCTAAAATCCAAACAGGTAAAACATCAATTTAACGATGTAAATCAGAAAATCCTTATTTTTAAACCAGCTGAATCTTGATCCTGCAAATGCAAAAAAAATCGTAACTTTGCATTTGAAGAACCCGGCATACAAAGCCCTATCAATAGATTATCATACCGCAACATGGGTATATATATATATACGCATATATATATATACGCATATATATAACCCCTTCCCCCTAATATGAAACACCCCCTAAACGAAGCCATGGTTTAGTAGTGAATTTCCACATTCCATTGGGACCATTGGGGTGTTTCTTGCAGCCATGGCACGGTGGTTTTGGACTAGGCTCGGCCTGTAAGCTATCAAACGCTCGTCTGAGAGGGATCCTTTGCACAAAGAAACATCATTCTTTCCACTCAAATCATGGCATTTCGGGATTTGTTTGGTATTGTTTAGTGCTATTGAGACCTTGTTTGTGTAATTTGAGGTTCAAAGAAGCCTAACACACGTTTGATACCAAACCTGCATCTGATGTATGATAATACAGAATTGCCACAAAGTCAACAATGATCAACACACTTCTTCATAAATGATCTTTAAGATCCGCGGTAGGTGGTCTAGCTGTTGCCGGGCTGAACATGGTACGTACAGTAGTTTTATTGATGATCATGAGACGAAGGGTCAAAGTGAATAACAAAGAACAAGCACCAGCAGTTACGATAATGATTCTGACGACAGTCATCATTGCAATGTTATGAAAATAGCATCATCGAGGTAATTGATCATGATAGTAAGACATAACCTTGCCGACCATACACAATAGTAATAAAAAACAATAAGTATATAATTATATATATATATACTGTATACAATAATATCTTAATAATCGAAGGAAGTTTAGAAGTCAAACTTCCGACAATATGGACAGATGAAAAGCAGAGTAGGGGAGAGGCAGAGAGAAGAGGAAGATTAGAAGAGAGAAGATGAGAAGAGAAAGAGTCAGAAGAAAGAAGATACAGATGCGCGAAAAGGTAGGAAAGTCGCGAAACACTGTGTTTTTCCAATGATTTGTGGCTCAGGAGGGTCGAAAAGTAGGCTCGCTAAAGCGGCGGGTGCGGAGCCAGCTGGTCACAGGAGCGATGAAAAATTGCACGCCGTTGTGGCGCGAAGCACATTTCCAAGTCAAAAGGTACAAAACACCTCAGGTCGGACCACTTTTGGAAGTTGAGATGTCGAAAAAGTGCACGCCGTTGTGGCGCGAAGCACATTTCCAAGTCAAAATGTACAAAACACCTCAGCGTCGGACGACTTTTGGAAGTTGCGATGTCGAAAAAGTGCACGCCGTTGTGGTGCGAAGCACATTTCCAAGTCAAAATGTACAAAACACCTCAGCTTCGGACACTTTTGGAAGTTGAGATGTCGAAAAAGTGCACGCCGTTGTGGCGCGAAGCACATTTCCAAGTCAAAAGTGTTAAAAACTGGCGGTCTCGGACCACTTTTGGAAGGTTCAGATGTCGAAAAAGTGTCGAAAAAGTGCACGCCGTTGTGGCGCGAAGCACATTTCGAAGTCAAAAGTGTAAAAAACTGAAGGTTTTGAGCCTTTTTTGACGTGAAGATGTCGAAAAAGTAGACATTGATTAACTTAACTAACTTGACTAACTTAACTAACTTCACTAACTTAACTACCCTAACTTTGACGACAACAGCAACAGCAACAGCAACAACAACAACAACAACAACAACAACAAACCACAACCACAACAACAACAACAACACCAACCACAACAACTACAACAACTACAACTACAACAACTACACGACAACTACAACTAGAACTACAACTACAACAACTACTACAACAACAACAGCAACAACAACAACAGCAACAACAACTACAACTACAACTACAACTACACAACAACTACAACTACAACTACAACTACAACTAGAACTACAACTACAACTACAGCTACAACAACAACAACCACAACAACAACAACAACTACTACTACTACTACTACTACTACTACAACAGCAACAACAACAACAACTACAACTACAACAACTACAACAACAACAACAACAACAACAACAACAACAACTACTACTACTACACTACACAACAACTACAACCACACAACAACTACAGCTACAACTACAACAACAACTACAACAACAACAACAACTACAACTACAACTACAAAACAACTACATCTACAACTATATGACTGCAACTACACTACACTAATTACATTACACCACAACTACAACTCCACTACGCTACAACTACAACTACAGTTGCAGTACATCACACTACATCCAGCAGTTGTGGGTGAGGTGACCACTGCAACCATTGCAACCATTCCAGCAAACACAACTCCAACCACCTTTCGGTCAATCAGTGGATTCGCTCTGCCATCCGTGATTCACAACAACCAACGTCTCCTATAGGTTTCCTATTCTGAAACTTCCGCCACCGCCTTGTGCGGTACTACTGGTAACAACAATAACAACAATATGGGGATGGGTCAATACACTGAACCCCTGGTGAACATCAAAATCGCTATAGTAAATGGATGTTCATCCCCCAACAACCTGTATTTGTAGGTATGGGTCCATCCCCAACAGACTGTATTGGGGTGATATAACAACTGTTATATAATAATATTCATATTATCATATTACCATATGTTACCAGAATAACCAGAATCATATCTAAATAATTACATCAATAATAGCCATAGAACTGCCAACTGCCTGCTGCCCTGCCTGCACCATGTCCCGCGCCACCTTCGCCATGAAGCGGGCCGTGCTGTCTTCGGTGATGGCGTCCAGCTTCGTCTGCAAGTCGTGCCTGGGGAGACGGAGGGATCAGCCAAGTGGGATGACATTTTGAACCAAAAGAACTCTGTTTTTCATTGTGATTCATAAGCCAAATATACTATTGACACCATTCCATATATATATATATTTATGATTATATATATAAATATATATATATACACATAATATATATATACATATTGGTATTTCATATATGTTTTTACCACTGAACATTGGTGCACACTATATACTTTGGGGATCTTTTGGGTGCAGTTGGGGATATTGATCGACATGACACCATGGTACTTACCCCATGAGTTGGGGTTCTCAAGCCCTTATAACAATGAAGACATTGGTATTTCGAGATTCGGGTACACCCCACTTGATGTAGCACTGAAGGGTCAAGGTATGTACGAAAATGATGGAAAATGGTCCGCATACCAGACATAAATGGTCAGCAATCTGGCTGGAGTGAGAAACACTACTGTACTGCGATCAAAGAATCAAAGATAGATTGAGGCAACAAACAAGACCTCATCATACAGACTCTCGAGACCCGTTCAACAAATATATGGGGATGGGTCAAAATTAGGTACCCCAAAATTATGGATGGTTAATACTAAACTAGACTAACATCTGTGGTCCCCTAGGTCTTCCATTTTGACCCACATCCATATCACTGTCTGAGTTTCTTAATGTCACCCCATTTCCACAACGCCAAGGCGCTGTCTTTCCGCTTGCCTTTCGAAGAGCGCTTCTAATCCTGGGCCAGGATCATCGTCCCAAGCAACAACAACGAAAAAAAAAGGACCAAACCAACGTCAAAAAACAATGGGTTTTTAGCAAAGTCCCATGGAGAACAACATTTTTCTTATCAAAACATCCGTAAATGGCAGTGTGTCAAAACCAATAGTACCTCTGTAGTTCACATCAAAATAGCTATAGTAAATGGATGTTCATCCCACTAAAAATGGTATGTATAGGTATTGATCCATAGCCAAATGATGGTAAATTGGTGATAAATCAAAGAAAATTCCGGGGCCCAAACAGTGAGGGATCGAGCCGCCCAAAGTCTCTGCATTTTTTGCATCTGAAGATCATGGACCAAACGAAGCGACCAAAATGAAATCCCAAAATCAGTTGAGGAATTTTGAATCAAAAACGCATTTGATTTGGGTTAAAACTTAGGTGTACATTATATAAATTATGTGTATATATATTATATAGGATTATATAGGCTATAGGCTATAGGCTGTAATTAAGGTGAATCTGGCGTGACTCCTGACTAAACGAAGCAGCCTCCACTAACATATGGACATTTGGGATGAGTGGCATCAGTCGCCAAGCAGCTTGCGAACAGATCATCGTTGCTGTTTTGGACACAGTGACAAACCTCAATGGATCTTCCAGTGACAAATGGACAGATTCCACTGAGTTCGGGCTTTGCGTTTTTACAAAAAAACGAGCAGCGCATCAAGTGACAAGTTGGAAAGAATGCTGATCTCGTCAAACATCGGAAATACATACATACAAAAACACACATCTACTGTCTGGCTATCGGCTATCTCACTTTCACAACTGGATATTCTATAAACTTCTATACCATTCTTCTGCTCAAGAACATGAACACGTGAAATTTGTCAAAGCCATGGTCCCTTGTGGCTCTCACAATAAAAAACTGACCAATGGATGTTCCCCCAGTCAGATGGTCCAATAAAGTTGACCTGTGGTCTCGACATGTTACCAGCTGACGAAAAACGGATCTTCTACAGGCATCAAGTATGGACCTCGAACATGGGTCATCAAATGGAGGATATAGTAACATATCACCAAACACATATCATTTATCATCAGTCATCAGCGTCAACGATCAACGTTCTCTCGATCTGAATGGCAGGATATTTTTCATGACTCTTGATGATTATCAGTTTTTTTTGTTTGCTGGCCACTGATTCTCTTGTCCTCTTGATGTTCATGTTCCATACGTTCATCATCATTGTAGTTGGTGAAACAAGCAAGGCAAGCAGCAACCTGTCTAGAAACATTCAGATTCGCACATACCCAACTGTCGAACAATGATTGCCTGGTTTGAGTTGACATCATGAACATCTCAACGGAAACCAATGATTCTCACACAACATGATATTCGCAAAAAACAAGGTGACTTTAATGGGATTTTTAAATGGGTAAACTACTTTGTAAACAACGAACACCATTACCCTCTGCTAAACATACAAAAAACTATGGAAAATCACCATTTTTCATGGGACAATCCACTATTTCTATGGTCATTTTCAATAGCTATGTAACAGATTACCAGAGGCTATCTTTGGTGGTAGGCAGGCCGTGAAGCCAGTCGCCGTGCCATCCGAGAGACCTGCTGGAATTGAAGTTCCAGGAATTGGAAATTGGACATGTGCTGTTCCACCTGCCACAAAAACGCCAGCATTTCACAAAAAATCGTGTCCAATAGGTAAAACATGACAACAAAAAGTATACTTAAGATAAGAAAAACATAATATAATTATATACTATATGTCATATACTGTATGTATAACACATGAACAGAAATAATTTAGCCAATGTATGCACACAGTATAGATTCAGATCCTGAACAAATACATCTGGCTAGCCTGGTGTTACAAGAACTTGTAGTCCTAAGACAAGATGGTTGCAGGTTCCCCGCTACCCATCGAGCCACGCTCCCAATCCAGATCAATCCGTCTAACCATCCACTGAAAAGGTTCTGAGCTGTTCACCGTCGCTTGATTTTCCTACTGACATACATATATATATATATATATATCATATATATATATATATATCATATATGATATATATCATATATATATATATATATCATATAACCCACAAGATACATGAAGCTACCCACAAGCCGACCAAATCTAGGCTATCTGAGATGTCACAGCAGTGGGGTTGGGCATCCATGCTTGAACTCCTATGAATGCGATGAACCCAGCAAAAAATGAAGGGGCAATTAATTAATTAGGGGTTATCATATCTTATCATTACATCATTTACCCTCTGGTAATTTAACGTAGCTATTGAAAGTCATTTATAGTTGAGTTACCCACCAAAAATTGTACTTTTCCATCGATATGCTATGTAAACGTTTACCAGAGTGTACTTGGTTTATAGGGGCTTCCTATAACCCTCACCGCATCCTATAACCCTCACCAGGCTATGTAAGATACCGCCTCTTACCGCAACATGCGACGGGATGACGGGATGTCGATGGAAAAATCCCCTGGGTTGTCTAGATCCCAACAACGAAACATGGAAAAAACCACAGGGTATCCATAGGGTATCCACAGGCTATCCCTGGGTTTTGGGATGACTCGATCCCAAGCCATTTTCATCCAGTCCTTCGCGGTCGTTGGCTCCGCTTCTTCAGCTCCGACTGGTCCAAGTTCCAGCTCCGCCTGGCGTCCAAGGTGGATGTGAAAAACTTGGAGATGTCTATCTAGAAAAAAACATTGGCATGGTTATATATGATTATGTATATATATATCAAATTATGTATAATTATACATGACTATATATAATTATATATGATTAGCATTGATTAGCATGGTCAAATAAACCAACGCAATTGGTGGATGATTGCATGGATTATACACATAGCTACATCTTCCGGTTGATTCGCTTTTTGTATACCGCTTCAAAGAACCACATTTCTGAACAGGCGACTTTACTCGACCGAAAAGCAACGCGGCTTTCATGGAACTTTGGTATCATTGTCCCCCCAAAACAGCAGAAATTTCTGCCTTTTTGGGAAAAGGCAGAAAACATAAACTGTCGGAAGATTCAAGTAAACACATACTTTCTTGTCTTGGTTTTGATCGTCATTTTAGGAAAACACTTCAAATCCCCATTTCAAGTTTGAAAAAAACTATAGTTAACTTCGGCCAATTCACTTAAGAACAAAAGTTCGCATAAATTGATATCAATTGGCCCCAAACTTTTATTCTTCAAGGTACAGTTATAATTAAAAAAATTATCCCCGCCCGCCTGGTCGTTGGAGGTCGCCGGGCTGTCGGAGGTGTCAGACTCGTCCAGCTCGGTGGTTTCGGTGGTCCCAGCCTGGCCGTGGGTTTGGACATTGGATCCATGGGAAGATTTCAACGGGTTTCATGGGATATGTATATATAATATACATTTGTATACATATATATATTTATATGTATGATATGTATGTATGTAATGTAATGTAAGATAAGGTAAGGTAAGGTAAGGTAATGTGCTGTATGTATGTACGTACGTACGTACGTACGTATGTATGTATGTATGTATTATGCTCCAGGTTCGGGGACCCCCCCTCCCCTCCCATGGTCATGGTTCCCCCCTCCCCCCTGTGGATGTGGGAGTTGGGTGGGTCCTGTAGGTAGTAATGTGAGTAAAATGTATGTATGTATGTATGTCTGTATGTCTGTCTGCCTCTATCTATCTATCTATCTATCTTATCTATCTATCTATGTATCTATGTATCTATGTATGTATGTATGTATGTATATATGTAATGTAATGTAATGTAATGTAATGTAATGTTGTAATGTAATGTAATGTAATGTAATGTATGTATGTATGAAAGGTATGTATGTCTGTCTGTATGTCTGTCTGTATGTAATCTAAGTATGTAATGTAATTTAATGTAATGTAATGTAATGCAATGCATGTAATGCATGTAATGCATGTATGTATTGTATTGTATTGTATGGTATGGTATGGTATTGTATGTTATGTTATGTTATGTTATGTAATGTATGTATGTATGTATGTACGTATGTATGTATGTATGTAATGTATGTAATGTATGTAAGTAAGTAAGTAAGTATGTACGTACGTATGTATGTATGTGATATATATGTGATGTATATGTGATGCATATGTGATGTATATGTGATGTGTATGTGATGTATATGTGATGTATATGTGATGTATAATATGCGATGTATATGTGATGTATATGTGATGTATATGTGATGTATATGTGATGTATATGTGATGTATAATATGCGATGTATATGTGATGTATATGTGATGTATATGTGATGTATATGTGATGTATATGTGATGTATATGTGATGTATAATATGCGATGTATATGTGATGTATAATATGCGATGTATATGTGATGTATATGTGATGTATATGTGATGTATATGTGATGTATAATATGCGATGTATATGCGATGTATATGTGATGTATATGTGATGTATATGTGATGTATGTATGTATATATATATATACACACGGTATGTACACAATGTGTATATATACATTAAGCATCATGAAACAACAAAAAACATGATTTGTGGCAATACATTGGAGATGTACAACCAAACATCTGATATATGGACCGGGCGTGTCTGAACATGGGGATATCCATCACATGGCAGTTTTTATGTTGCACATGGAAGAGTGGTCTTGAAATAATGATTGGCATAATCAAATGAAAAAGCAACATTTGGAACTGTAATATCTAACCCTTCCAAAATAAGTTCGCATAGTGGTTTGTGGTAGAGCGGCACGCATAAGACAAACAGTGGGAGGAAAACGAACCATGCTGATTTAAGTGATTCAACTCATGAAGAAAGGGAGTGCAGTGTGACAGTAATGAACATATGTCCAAATCCTTGAAACGTACTTTTCAATCTCAATTGAAAACCCCTAGCCTGTAAGGCTGTAAGGCGCATCTAGGAAAAAACCTAGACTATGTTTTCAAAAATGGCACGCGGTGGCACAATGCATTTATTTTGGGTACGCCCCAGGTTAGTCTACCTATGTCTACCTTCCCATTGGTAGCAACAAAACACTGATTGCAAGGTTGACACGGTACTGTCAAGTCAAGACTAAAGCCTTGGTTTACTACCAGCCTGGGGGTGCAGTTCCAGTTGTAAGCAGATAGTCATATAAGCATAGTTATAGGGAGTATATCCAACTTCTAGAAGTTCTCACCGTGGTCATACCCATTTCTGATCCCAACACCGAAGACGGGCGGGTACCATTTAAAATTGAGCCATTATACCCCTATCCCATCTCATAAAATACTAGTGTCACTAGTTGGTTATCACGATCCATTTATAAAAAATAGCTAGTATAATGTAGTATAAGTCCCAACACCATTCAACCAGGGATAGCCAGTATATTTTGTGACTCAACTGAAATGACTATGGCCACCATTTGGACGACGCCTCTAGCCACGAAGCACCGCTGACCCCTTTGCTCCATTCGGCCATGGCCGCGCGGCCAGGCGCGCCGGGGGCGCTAAGAATTGTCGGTTGTACGCCGGGGAAGCAAGAATATCACGTGCTTCTTTTAATTCATTGGAAGCACTTGGAAACTTGGTGGTTCACTGATGAAGGTTATTACCCTGCTTCATTTTTCGTTGAAACACCAAGCACAGTAATTGAACCCGCTCATGTTTTGGTAGAAAGGGGCAGGATTCATCCATGGATGATCAACTCTGAAAGGTCAGAATGCGGCGCTTTGTATGTCACTTTCAATATGTAAGTATTTGCAAACGTTGTTGACTACAATACTGTCCATTGAAATCACTTGGAACATTAGGGCAGTAACATTTACAATCAACATGTGGCTCAGCAACAGTCATGGCTTGGTTGTTCCTTATCTTACTATGAGCAAAGGAAGCAGCCAGGAAAAGGACAGCCAGCAAGAAAAAACCAACCAACAGGAATTGAATCGGGGGTATAAATAATCGTTTGACTTGTCTGTTTTCCAATATGCTCACACACACATATATATATATATATACAGATACATACACCACAATTTCGCTGCAACAAGGCTGTCTTTCCATCCCTCCCACATTTCTGTCTGAAGCAATAGGATGACTCATACCTGGAGGCTCACGCCCAACAAAATGTCGCAGCGATTCCAGGGTTTTCATCACCATGGCATGACAAGAGCTCTGCCTTCAGCCCATGTGAGGCAACACAGATGTTGGGTCATGTCTAAGCGCTACCATGGGCTGGGCTCATGATTTAGCAATCAAAAAGGCTCCTGTTGTGGAAAAAAATGTGACATTCCAGACACATGGTGTTTTTTTTCCATATAAAAAGAGAGAAAGCAATGCACACTCCTTGGGGATGAAGTTGAGGTTATGAATGGGTATATAACCATATCCATAATTATAGTTATTATCCCAACTTTTGGGGGTTAGAACCCACTTATAGCCATGGAAATAACCTCAGTCCTCCACCAGCCTTTTCATCCTTCAACATGAAGCAATCATTGCTGGAACTTGGGTGTTTCGCGTTGCTAGAAATCATCAACGTGTCAATATGCTATAAGTATATAGTCTCATACATATATAAAACCAATTTGCTGTGCCTTGCTGACATTTTATGCCCTATGCAGCCTATGCAGTAGCTTCTAAGACGAAGATGTCAACACACTATACGCATCTATATAGTATCTATACATCTATCATCATCTAGAATCTAGAATCTAACCTAAGGGGATTTCTGAGTACCAAACCTTTAAGAAAACATCTACCCTCCGGTAATCAAACATGGCATGCTGGAAAATCAACCTTTTAGTTTTCCCACTCAACCCCCAGTAAAACTAGGATTTTCCAGCCATGTTTGAGGACAGCAGACGGTAAACAAATATCCTGCATAGGGGGGTTCCAGCACGGCCCTCTGCGAGGCTGTCAGGTCTTCCAACATCTCCTGGTATCGACATGCCAGCGTCAACGGCACGGACTCTGGTAGTAGCAACGCCTAACCAACAATCAATGGGGATTTCGTCAGTTTTCATCACAAAAACGAAATCCAAGGCCTTAGGGTGGCAACATGTTTTTGGCATCTTTAAGTATAAGGTATCCAAATTGACCAAAACGATCCAAGTGTATCCACATGCTTGATATATCCCACTCGTCACCTGTACTGAGAACGCAGCAACTGCTAGAGATATTCAATGATTGCAAGGACACATTCCAGGAGACCATCTTTGTAGCAACCAAATTAAGGGGTCCCTCTCGGTTCGCTGGGAACCAACTTCAGCAAGTGTCGTTTACATTCGTTTGCCCATCACCCATTTCGCTTGGATGTGCTTGCGATTTAGTAAGTGTTTCCTAAGCCTCCTTGGCAAATTCCTCAACATGGTGTTTTCGCATGCATCACTGACAAAGACTCTGCCAAATAAGGATTGGAAGATTACCTTTCCACTAGCATTTAGCTATTTTTAAGGGCTAATAATTCAAGGTACCCTCTGGTGAACTAACATAGCAATGGAAAATTGCCATTTATAGTGGATTTTCCCATTAAAAATGGTGATTTTCCATTGCTATGTTAGTTCACCAGAGGGTATTGCTTGGGCCATTTCACCCTTTTTCCCAAACACGTTGCAGTGCTGGGATGAAGAAACAACCCGAGATGCTGGGAGAATTTTTTTGGCCCTCTGGTAAACTAACATAGCTATGGAAACTGGCCATTTTCTTCGTTGATTTACCCAATAAAAAATGGTGATTTTCCGTTGTTATGTTAGTTTACCAGAGGGTATATATAGACATAATGGCTATTGGATGATCATGCCCCAATCGGAGAAAAAACACCTTTTGACCATGGCAAAAACACGCACATATATATATATATATGTATATATATATATTCATGTATATATATATATTAAATCTATATATCCAATATATCCAATATATCCACTTATCTAAGCATCTGTATGTATATAATATATATATATATATATGCGTGTGTGTGTGTTACCTACAGGCACCCGCCCGCCAGTGCCTGCGGCCATGAAGGCGACTGGGGCGCGATGTTTTTGGTGGTGGGGCTCGGGGGGCAACAAGAACTTGCCATTGATCGTTGTCAACGAGTAGATTTATATTGTGTATTATATATGGATCATTGCAAATATTCACAATATTCTGTATGTATGAGTATGTATGAGTATGTATGAGTATGTATGAGTATGTATTCACTGCGATCATTGTGAGTATTATGTATCATTATTCTTATATCGATTATGGGAAAGTCATGTCGAGTCCCAAATGTGACCCTCGTTCATTGAGCTGATCCACGTTTTGGTCAACATCCCCATGGCAAAATGATCCCGAAAAATGGATGGATTCAGAACGGAGCAGCCTTTTTGTTGCTGGACCATTGGTACCCCAGGACACTCCCCAGCGTTCGCACCGAGACACATAGCTTCGGCCATAGGCCACGGTCGCAGGAGCAAATCGGTAGATGGCAATGCGCCTGGCTCAGTTTCCCACTGGATGCGCATCGCAATTGGGATTTGTTTAACAAGCACGGCTACCCTCCAGTAAGCTAACATAGCTATAGCGAAATCGCCTTGTTTGATATGTAAATCCACTAATGGGCCATTTTCCATAGCTATGTTTGATTGCGAGAGGGCAGTTCACGCATTGTTTCGTTGGGAGATGGCTATTGCATATGGTAATTATCCATCCTGTAGTTGGGAAAAATCATTGTAATATATATTGCCCATAGCATGGTTTATGTCATTGCGTTTACCCCATTATAAATTAATATATATATATAATATTTGTACATATGGAAAATCATGGTGAGATAATGATAATGTAGGATAACCTGTTAATACAAACAAATGCTGTTGTGGCCGCGCAAAAGGCCAATATGTTTCTTACTGTAAATCGATTACATGGTCTAGAGCAATATTGGTGTTCTCTTGATTTGCTTACCATTGTTGTATATTGTGATTTAATAATGGTCATTATCATTACTATAATGTACCCATTATCATTATCATTGATGTTGTTTACACATGGCAATATAAGACCTGTTATTGTTAATGTATCCTTTTCTTAATCAAATACCATTATATACCATTATATCCTTTTTTTATATAGAATCTATTGATTAGTGTAATGGATTGTTACAACTACTATTTTCCCATTATTCCTACCATGATTGGTTAGAATGAATAAACATAATTGAGCTATAACAATAGTAAGTGTTGTCATTGCTATTTGTGATTTCCCCTTATTTCAGTAATAGTAATCACAATATATTATTATATTATTATATTATATTATCATGTGATTATATTATTATATTGTTTTGTTATTACATTACATATTATTATATTATTACTAAATCAACTTATTATATTAATATATTATTATATCATTGTCATTGCCAATCTTAGATACCCTGCAAACGAAAACCTGCTGGTTAGTACATTTTACCATTGATAGCAACATATTTAAATTACTAGTTTGTATCCAACCAAGGTTAACCCAGTTATTGACTATCAGAGTTTCATAACAACGGGATAATGGAATATATATATAGTATAACCATGGTATATTATTATTGACTACCTTCCCATGATACAATATCCCAGAAAGATATATCGATAATATCAATATTACTATTCCATTATCCCATTATCCAGTTATAATATCCCATGATAATCCATATTTCAAAAAATACACATGATCCCGTTGAGAATATTTCCAGTAATTCATAATATCCCAATTTTGCAAACAATATCCCAATCCGATAATAGTCACCCATATTAATCCATACTTCATAATACCCTCTGGTAAACTAACATAGCTATGGACAAATCACCATTTTCAATGGGAAAATCCACTATTTCTATGGCCATTTTCAATAGCTATGTTAGTTTACCAGAGGGTAACATGGGATAATGGAATATTCATCCATTAATATTACTCCATATTCGGTTGATGATCATCCCATGATATCCCGACAAATTCATCCATAGAAACCCAGTGAATTTTATCCCATGATTCATCCACCATAACATATTCATGTTCCAAACCACCAACCAGTATATATTCCCATAATAAATCCATAATTATAGGACATAATATATTATTCCCATAATAAATCCATCAAAAATCCATCATCATATATATCATGATATATATATATATATCATGATAAAAAATGGGATAATCACATCCCAATCCCCATGGATTTCCAGGCCATGCTCCGCGCCTCTCATGCTCGGCAGTCCAGGCCATAGCGCCGTGCACCGTGGCCTCGGAGAAGAAGAGCACGTCCCCCGCGCCTGGGGCCCCAGGGGTGGAGAAAACGGCCACGAAACATGGGAAAAATGGGGAAACACCTGGGATTCCCATGGATTACCTAGAAATTCCTAGAAAAATATGAGAAAATTAGGGGAACATATGAGAGATCGAGATGGAAATAGGCAGAAAGAACATGACGAAATGAGTCAAATAATATAAAATGGATTGAAATCAGATGAGGCAAACGGGGCTTGACATGATTTAAGCATGGAGAACCATCAACATTAAAGTATTTGTGGAATTGCAACAGCAGATTTCAGTACAATCAGTACAACAAAAAGGATTTAAGTGGAAGCGAAATACCCTGAGTCAGAAGTGGAACATCAAATAAGGATGACTTTGCAAATCTGGATTTAGACAGTCAATAAGACATGAGAATCAATAGTGGGAGCTCAAATTAACAAGTTCTGCCCCGCAAACTCAGCATTTTCCATGAACAGTTGGAGTTCAACCAGCACAAAACAGCAAAAAAGGTCGCTTTCATTTCATCCAAAACAAACGAGGATCTGACGAACAAAAGACAGCAGATGTTGCAACAGCTTATGACAGTCTGCAGGAAACCATAGGAGTTTTAACAATCAATGATCAGGTTTTCCTCAAAATTATTGCCCCTCAAATATCCTCAAATAATATGTGGGAAAGAAGCATGCGATATGATCTGTAACCGAGTAACCGAGCAAAAGGACCAGAACCCAAAAAATGCTGATCCCTTTGAAGCCAGCAAACTGGGATCTTCAACAGCAAGCTTTGGACATTGGACATGTTTACGAACGCATCTCACTTTTGGTGTACCCCCTTCTAACCCATACGCAAGTTAACTCGATTTTCTCGGTGATAGGATGGGTTGAAACATTTATAGGATCTATTAGTTAATCAGTTTGATCTGATGTAAGAACATGCACTGTTTTGAGATCAGAAAAAGAGAGCAATAAACAGGCCCTCGTTTGTCTACTCAACTGGACTAAACATTGCGAGTTGTAGGAAAGAAGTTGGCTCCTGTGCGCCGGACATACCTACAAAATCCTACAATGGATGGAAACCTAGATCCTAGGTTTCCACTTTTGCAGGGTCAAAATTCAAATTTCCGTCTATTCAAAATTCATGCACAATTCTTGCTACCTCTAAGTTCATGGAACTCTTTCTTCTTGCCAAATTGTATGAATCAGAATTGGGGAGTCAAACGAGGTCTGGAACTCTCCACTGAATTTGGCAACATCACCCGCTGCTGCCCCAAAGTTCTAGGTTCTGCACGCGTAGCCGGCTGGTAAAAATGCTCCTGGCCAGAGGCAAACTTCGCAATGACCAGATCACCTTGCCATGTGTACTGCCGGACCAGATCGAACTGTGTGCTTCCGGTCAAGTCGCAAACTTCCGTGCATCATCGGCATAGGCAAATAACATCTCTCTCTCTCTATATATATATATACACATAATTATATAAATTATATATAGCATTATAGCCCTCGGCCCAAGTCTTTCCAGTTAGTGGGGCTGTTTACAACCGATGCTTGGGAGATCGTTGCACCATGGCCTTGTTTCCTCCTCGTGTGGCTCCTTCATCAGAAAGACATTGGCTGTCATTCTGCATCCCCTGATGCTATCTGGTTTGGGCATCACGGCTACTCCCAGTCGTGTGAAGGATGTGATCACAAACAGCGCTGCTCTACAGGTAGTCCGCGCACATCTCATTGCCTGTCTCGATTTCAGTGCCTTGATTACTGGTTTGCTTGTTTGGCACCTGGCAGATGACTCTCTTCAGCCGGAACAGCAGGGATGCTACCTGAATGGCCGTCTTGGTTTCAACCTCGAGTGCACTTGTGGGACAGAGTGGCCTGCATGTCCGATGCACGCGGCTTGCTGCAATTCTGTCGATTTTGTAGTTTGAGGTCTGACAGGCGCCGGTATGTCTTTGGGGAGCGGCATCCTTCAGATTGAGGCAGCAAGCGAGCGGGGCAGCATGTCAACAGTGATTACACGTGGCTTGAGCCGGCTCAGAATCCATGGGTCGCACTTTTCGTGTTTTTACCCAACTTTGGGAGACCAGTGCTCAGCATTGCTTCTCTCAGTTTTTATGTGGGTTGGTCCTCTCAATCGGACTTGCACCATTTGGATTTTCCTTTCTTCTTTAGTGCGCTCCATTACAGTTGCACGACCTGATCGTAAGTTAATGGACTGGTGGGCATGTGCGACAGGGCCGTGCCTGTCCAACTCAGCATTCAGCCAGGGTCCCGACATCCCTGTGCTGACGCCATCTTAGGGTTGTTCTGTATGACGTAGTCCCACAGCTTGTGGAATACCATGGAAGCCTGGCGGGGGCAAACTCTCCCGTCGGCCTTTGGGATGTGTACAAAGCAATCTGTTGGACATGAACCTAGTGCTGCGCCGCACTGCTGCCGCTGTGCGCGCACCACTTAGAAGCCGTCCGCGCTATATATAGCATTATATTATTGTCCCATTTTGGTTGGTCAAATCCCCGATAGACTTCCGTTTTAGATGCCTGTCCTCGGGTCACATGTTCCCATCCCACCAGATTCAGCAGTCCTTTGCTTCAGCACCAGCGCCATGAAGAAAATCGGGTGGAACGGGAAAGTTCAGCTTGTGCGACCTGCGAGCTTCGGACATGGTCGGACCACCGAAAATTCTGGTTCATTGGTTAATCACTCTTATTTTTTCCGATGATGGCCATCATGATTTGGCCATTGCCATATATGGGGGGTCTCTTAATCACTCATTTAAGGGGATCCCCAAGAAACCAATGGGTTGTTGACCACTACTAAACAGATTGACCAGGTCATCCATGACGACTGAATGATTGTTTTTTCCAATGGAAACCTTCATAGATGCCCATCTACTAACCGGGGATTTCCCATGAGGACACCGGAAGGTAACCTCGGAAGGATCAGAAATTGATGAGAAAAGAACTGCAGTGTGTCTAAATACATGTCTATTATCCTTATCTATGTGGTATGGCTGATCTCATTCCATCAAAATTATATAGCTCTATCCGATCCACCTCCACCCTCTCAGAGTTGAGGATTCACCGTCAAGATTTAAGATATTAAAGGCCCCCAAATTCCCAGCTCGCATGTGGTGCATTGATATGCCCAAACTTGGCTCTGTCCCTTTCTGGTGATCCCCAAAACACATGGCTGGTGATTTTCCGAATTTAATTCTACTCCATCTCACCATTCACAAAGACGCAGCCATGTCTTGGTTCTTAAACTAACAATCAACTTACTGTAAATCACTTAAATCCTATCACAGATTTACAGTAAATCCTGTCTTTTGACTCTGTTTGAGGGGTTGAACCGCATCAAACCACCACGAAATCTCCAGGTCCCACCCGCGAATGACGCAAAAGCCGCCATCACCGGGCGCATGGTCCACCAACTGCACCGACCTCGAGGTTGGTCATCTCCAAAATGGACATCCGCTTGACTATCCCGTGGCCAAGCTGCCATGAAGAACACCATTGATATTCCTCCATTGATCTGGCTACATGATCAAACATGATCAAACATGATCAAACAATCACTAACCTGAGGCACGTGGGATTCCCCAAATCCCAAACAACCATCATTCTAGGGCCCGGGGCATGGCCAACAGGGAGTTGTAGAATTGGCCTTGGCGAAGTGGGCAGGTGGATACCCTCCGAAAAAAAAAACATGGCTATGGAAAATCCCCCATAAAACCTTAAAAAGGAATACCGTAGAGGAATACACAAAGGAAAGAATGCTATAAACACGTGTACTTTGGGAACACGTGTTTTTGTTCCCAAATAAAGTGCAAGTAGTGTACTTTCCTCAAAATTAAGAGTATCCTTTCTTGTTTAATAAACATTCTTAACGCAATCCCCGACCGTAGCACCTAAGCAATTACCTGGTGTCTTCACAAGTGAAACAGAGTATGAAAGTCATAGGAGATAATGATCCAGCTAAAACCGCCAAACTATACACATCTATCTATCTATCTATCTATCTCTATCTATCTCTATCTATCTCTATCTATCTCTATCTATCTCTATCTATCTCTATCTCTATCTATCTCTATCTATCTCTATCTATCTCTATCTATCTCTATCTATCTCTATCTAATTCTATCTATCTCTATCTATCTCTATCTATCTCTATCTATCTCTATCTATCTCTATCTATCTCTATCTATCTCTATCTATCTCTATCTATCTCTATCTATCTCTATCGATGTCTATCGATCTCTATCGATCTCTATCGATCTCTATCGATCTCTATTGATCTCTATTGATCTCTATCGATCTCTATCGATCTCTATCTATCTCTATCTATCTCTATCTATCTCTATCTATCTCTATCTATCTCTATCTATATCTATCTATATCTATCTCTATCTATCTCTATCTATCTCTATCTATCTCTATCTATCTCTATCTATCTCTATCTATCTCTATCTATCTCTATCGATCTCTATCGATCTCTATCGATCTCTATCGATCTCTATCGATCTCTATCGATCTATCTATCTCTCTCTCTCTCTATCTATCTATCTATCTCTCTATCTAGCTATCTAGCTATCTAGCTATCTAGCTATCTAGCTATCTAGCTATCTAGCTATCTAGCTATCTATCTATCTATCTATATATATATTATCTCTCTCTCTCTCTCTCTGTCTGTCTGAGTGTCTATCTGTCTGTCTGTCTGTCTGCCTGCCTGGCTAGCTGGCTGGCTGGCTGGCTGTCTATCTGTCTGTCTGTCTGTCTGTCTGTCTGTCTGTCGTCTGTCTATTTATATATAGATATATTACATATATACACTATATACATATATATATATATACGATATTTGAACCAGATACAGTATGTCCCGGTTTCATTGTTGGTCCAAAGTTTTCTCAGCAACTTGGTTCCAACAGAATAACGCCACGGCACCGTTGACACATCGATACTGCAAGGTTGGGTTGAAGTGACCTGCCTGCGGGTGATCTGGCAGAGGGAAACATGTGGATGCTGGACATAAATCCAAGAAAACAACTTCAAATCAAATGCACGTCTACATGTGAATTTCATGATATAAAAATACATTAAATACATGTTGAAGCACAGACAATGCTGGCATTGCAAACTGTATGCTTATCACACATAGCAACAACCATATAGCAACAGCAAAAGAAAAGGACCAACATCTTTCTGCTGGACTGGCGGAGCGAGGATAAATCATGTTGGGAAAATTTACAGGAAAACACCATATTCAATGGGAAAATCTATGGCTTCCTGCAAATTTTCCCTTAAACCAATCCATTGATTTTTTTCTGGCTGAATTTCATCATAATTCATATATCTGAAGCTGTTATCATACGGCCAGCTATGGGGATTAATTACCACAATTCGCACCTCGGTCAATGGCCCTCCATGTAGGTGAAATCCCTCGGAACCCTTGTAAGACCTCGCAGAATTGATAGGCGTCGCATGGATTAAACCAATTGGGGACTGACAGTCATGGGGGGATTCTGGTATAACACCCCAGTGAAGTGGGGAAAATGATGTAATAAACTGAAGCCATCGAATTTTGGGGTACACTATTTCCAGACGAACCAACAAATTGTCCCTTCCAAATTAACCCAGGGAGTCTGCCCCGTCTTCGGCAAGTTGACGTGCATCAAAAAGTAAAGCCTGTTCCGCTAGTTTTCGGTTTCAAATGGAGGCCCGAAACTCTGCTAAAACATGCTCAGACACTAAAACACTAGCCTAAACTGATTTTTTGGCCTTAAACATATTTTTGGGCGTCACCTTGAAACCATGGAAAGCTGCTGTGGATGGCAATCATGTGGTTGGTCAACAGTCATCATAGTTTCACCAAGATTTGACCATTTTCTGGAGCCCCATGTTGAGACACTCTAATTTATCACATTGTTGCTAATTTTTATCTCATGTCCCAGGTTTGTTTTTAACATCATGTGAAAAATCCGCTATGTCCTAAAAAAAACCGTGCCTTTAAATCATTGTAAGGATCTCTACAGACTAAGACACATGGGAATCTCAAGGAAGATCTTCCCAGTCCCATCCCACCAGAAGTCCCTACGTGATGATCAAGGGCAAATGATCCATGCGATATCCGGGACTGCAGAGCGTGGTGAGGTACGGCAGCAAACGCCTGGGCAAATCCCGAGAGGCGAAACCCAAAAAAATTACGAGCCGAGCCGAAGAAGTTTGACGAACCAATTTCTCCCTTCCACCAAGTCTGGGACGTCTGGGACGTCTGGGACGTCTGGGACATGGGATATGCTAGCTGGTTTTAAATGATCTTTGAGTTTGTGGTTAAAATGTGACACCTTCATTGGAGGGACCATTCAGCCACCATTCAGCCACCACCAGGTGCCATCGGGCCATCATCCCATTTCGGGCATAACATCGGCGTTTATCGGAGGTGGATCAACTTTTCTTTTAACAAATGAACTGGTCCAGTCTCTTACACAAACCCAGCCCCCCATGTTCGGGGAATTGAACTATTATATATATATATGTAATGAAGCCTGGCGATAGGAAATCAGATCTGCTCATCGGAAAGTAATCTGAAAATATAGGTTTTCTGCTGCCAGGAGAGGCCAAGGGAACAGCTACAGGAAAACAGGTGTTATCCTATCAAAGATGAGGGCGCCCTGTAAATGTCTCAACAACTTCTGGGAAATTAATAATTAATGGAAATTCCATATTTCTTCACATTTGCACATCCTCATAGTTGTTTTCCTATTTGTTTACACTTGTATAAATACACTTATAGACTGTGTCTATTCCCACACCCCATTCACGGAGAAGAAATTCGCCCATTCTCAACATCTCAGGGCCCAACGGATGTGACAGCAAGTTGCGCCAAGGCAGGCAATGAGGCTTTGGCCAGCCTGACATCTTGCTGAGTGTCCCTTTGTGGGGAATAAATCTATATAGATCCCATACAGTTAAAGCCCTTTACCAGTTATAAATGTTTATACATAGAAATAAATCAGGTTATAACATGTTATAACTGACTTACAGTTTACAGTTTGTATTTCGGGCCATGACTAGGGGCTATGACTCCCCATGGCAAATGGCAATGATCGCAAACCAGTGGATTTAGGGGTGCACGGTGTACCCATTTCCGGACAAAGCCACATCTAGAATCATTGATTCATTGGCTTGGTTTAATTTTCATAATTTATCGGAGTAAATATTGGTGAATATAGGGATTTCCTGTGAACGTTCCCTTCATCCGATGTGGAATCCGGGGCATGCTCAGGTACGGAAGTGGCATGCAAGAACCACTTGCTTGATCTCTCTTATCCAGTCATGGATAGGTTTGGGTTCCAGCAGTGACATTCACCTGAAAAGTGGCGCACAGATTGGTGGCATAATGCTGTTTATTGATAGACATGTGACATGTTAGTTGCAGTGCGTCACAAAATCACATGCGTGGCCGGCCTGGTGCTGAAACAAACAGATCAACAAATGGTGGGCTTGTCCAGTCCAAACAAAACCACATCCAATCACCGCTATAAAGACTATGAAGGTTTATGGGATTGGCCTGAATCAACATCCTGACCCTCTCCACATCAAGAACCTGCCATACCGCTTCAGCACGGCTAAACAATGACCCATCAACTTCTCATTCACACCGTTTTTCTCCATGGCTATAGAAATGTTGGCCTATTTGACGTGAATTGAATATTCAAAACAATCACTTCTGAATCCATCATGGCTAATCGTGGATGGCCCGCATTGTTCTTAAGCTGGTTGGTATGCCATCCCGATTCATGGTCAAAAAAATCAAGGCATTCAACTAAAACTAGGTACACGGCGCATGTTACACCGTGGTATATCGGCAAGTCTTTGAAAATGCAGATTCCAATTGAATGGTAAATCACTGCGTTTTAGCTGTCTTTTCAATGTTTGTTTCTTTCACCTCAATTCCGTGCGGAAACAGGTTTTGAAACCGCAAATAGAGTGGAACTTAAGTATTTTCTGTGCCTTTTAAAACCGGGGAACTACTATAGTTAGCATTATCTTTGAATTACAGGCACATTCTGGGAGTTTACAAAATAATAATAATAATAATAATATTAATGATAATAATAATAAATATATAATAGTAAATAATAATAATAAATAATACTAATAAATAATAATAATAATAAATAATAATAGGAACACATAGGCTTGACCTCAAAAACAAATAGGATTGACTGTTAGCAGCATTTTCCTACAGCAGTGCACTCAGACCGTCCAAAAGTTCATGCCGTGACAAATGCCCCAGCGATTGCCACCTTGTGTGGATCCATTCAAAGCCATCCAGAAACTTCACAGCGCATGCAGGTATATCATGGTATATCATGGTATATCATGGTATATCCACACCAAGTGCGGTTTCCATGCCCATATTTACATCTCTTTGTCCCTGGCCAAGGTCTTGAAATTCATTTCAAGAGAGAGGAAAGAAAGGAAAGACTCTAAGACATCACAAGACTAAGATTTCAACGTGGCCATCAGATGCTTGCCCTAAGTGTGCCTGGTTCCAGACTGAAAAGTAGAACAGTAACATACGGAGTTCTACCAGAGTTTGATCTGGAAGAGGTACATCCATTTCTTCACCGTAGCATTCATCAGCATGACGCAGCATTTAACATCGCACCACATGGCTTACCACGGCGCAATACACATAGTGGTCCAACTACCTGTGGCAAAGGGTCGCCACTCACTTTACCAATAATTTCCCGGTAAAAATCCAATTTTGCATGAACACATCCACAGTTGTTTCATGTTGTTTATGGTTCAACCACTACCCATCCAATTAGTTGTCCTTAATTATTCCAATTACTTTCCCATCGTATTCCATATTCCATGTCTGATGCTTAACCCACCCCATCTAGTGTTCTTGCTTTACTTCGCCATCGGAGAATTCATGAGAATTCATGAGAATTCCCCATATTTTTCTTGATGAAGCCATGGCTTTAATGGTTACCCTCTGGTAAACTAACATAACTATGGAAAATCACCATTTTTAATGGGAAAATCCACTATAAATCACCATTTTCAATAGCTACGTTAGTCATTACCAGAGGGTTAACCGGTTAACCCATGACCCGTTGCTCCACCCCGCCTAGCATTCCTCCAAGATCCCGGCGCCCGGTCTTCCCATCGCCGGCCAACGGGCTATCGGCTCCTGGGTTCGTCATGGATCCAAGTCACCAGAGGTTTCAACATATGAAGTCTACCTCCATGAGACTTCCATGACGACTGGAGGGACCCCCAATTTGAATGGTGTGGTTTTCTGGAACATGATGATGAACCAAACAAAATGAAGAGGAAATCAGAGTGTTTTGGAGAAATTCACAGATTTTCCTCTTTTCCAACAAGGCTTATCCGCTGCTAGATGGGATGATCCTTCAAATAGACCACCTGGTAATTTATATAGCACGGCGAGCATGAAATTCTACAATCATCAGAGATTTTCCCTTGCATTTCTTTGGAGGGTACATATTGTTTCTGGTCCAACCATGCGCAAGTTCAGCCGTGAAACATTCGCCTTTGGAGATTCATTTGTAACACCAACGGGACAACTGCTTGACAAAATTTTGGGTGAGGAATATATTCGAGACAAACCAGAGACCATGAATCCACAACATTCCCAAACAACAACAGTGATGTTGGATCTATGGACTTTTGACATCTGAATCTTTTGACCATTGATAGTGTACCCCCGTGTTTTAACCCATTTCCACTAGTTACTATAGGATACTCACTGAGGGTTGTGCACCAAGAGCATTCAACTTCTCCCGGATCTCCCGGTACGCCGAGTAGCTTGTATTTCTAAGCGCAGTGTCTGTTCTCTCCTTGATCTCGCCTGAAGCCACAAGGGAAGGGACCGCAAGAGGAGAGATTCACAACTTGAAGCACTACTTAGATCACTGCAGCTTAGTCACTGGTGAGAAATAGTAGTTTTATGTAGTTTTGTTTACCCGCTTACAAGGTGTAAACATTATTAACATATATTAAAATTAAGGTACACAGTTTTTCTTTATGGGTTTTGCCTAGTTGATTGGGAATAATCCAATTTCTGGGACTTTTTTTAACTCCTGCTGTATTTCACCAGATCTGTGGCTGTCTTGCCCTAGGCAATGTGTGCATCGTTCGGCATTCGAACAACCAGTAGGTCAGTAGGGATAGAAACAAAGAAGCAACTCATGCTCCAATTCCAATTGATTAGTGATGAAGTAGTCATACCCCCCCACAACACACGTGTTCTAGGAATGGCTTCAAACATGAGAATTTCAATCGTTCGAAAACAATTTACATACATAATAGGATGGCAGGGAGTATGGGCCTTGATAAAGAATTATATCACCATAATGTCCCAATAAACAAATCATACACAGGTTTTAATGAAGTAAGAATATTCAGAGTAAGTATGATACCTTATAGTCAGATATCAAATCCCCATCTCGCATCCTTGTCTCATAATGTCGGCGATGTTTCCCACTGGAGGTTGTCTGAAAACATGGCACACCTTTTGTCGTTTATCTTTCAATGGCCATTTGGGGGAAGCTTACCCTGTTTTCAGACAGAACAAGTCTCATGTTGTTGGTGATATATATATATATATAATATTCTATCATGATGATATATGGTGATATCATAATATTATAATATTATATATATGTATCACCATAATCATTATATAATATTCCATCATCATCATAATAATAATCATCATCTTCTCATATCTGGTTGTCTGAAAATAGGGTACCTTTCCCAAATCCACGATTGATCATCATCTTTATCAACGTGCCGATTTGGTGTAGTACAGTGTACACCCTTTTCCAAACAAAACCATCTCGTATCAATGGTTATCTATTTTATGATATGATAATATGATATTTTATGACATGATATAATTTATGATAAAGGGAATCCGTCTATATAATGGGCATATCGTGGGATGACTATCTTTTTTTATATACAGTAATCGATCTTTTGACCACATATCCTTCGCCAAAAAATCAATGGCCAGATTGAAGGCAAACAATAGAACCCTTGTATCTGTTCCTATATAATTTATTCCCTATTACGTTGGGATTTATACATAAAGGTATCTTTAACCAAAAAAAGGCAATACAATAATCCCTAATAGGAGTGATCCTAGATGATTTATTGATAAACATGTATAATACAGGATTTACAGGATACATCTATTTAATGCATTTTGTAGAGACTTCCCCAGAGACTTACCCACAGGTAATCTATCAGTTTGGAAAATAATCAGTCATCATTTTTCATAGGTAAATCATTGAACAACATGGGCCATGGCTTCCATAGCTATGTCCGATTACCTTACCGGGTAACCCACTGATCATCGTTGTGTTCCCATGATATTCCCATTGCATTCTCCCGCCATATCCTATGTATGATCCCACTGCTTTTATCCCATAATCATGATTGAATTCCATTATATTACCACCATTATATTACCATATGCTGAAAAATTACATTACCATATAATTCCATGAAACATTACCATATTAGTGCCATTATTACCCTCTGGTAATTTAACATAGCTATGAAACATCACCATTTTTAATGGGAAAATCCACTATAAATGGCCATGTTCAATAGCTATGTTAGTTTACCAGTTGATAGGTGGTCCCACTATTTAACTATTTATAGGGTTTCAGCCATATATTACCATATATTACCCCATGATGCCAACAGGCCATTCCTCGGTGCGCATCGATGCCGTCGTTGAGGCTCTTCACCTCCTCGGCGCTCAGCGCGCCGCGCACATGGATGAAGCCTCAGCGGGAGCTTTGGCGAAAGCCATGGACGCTGGGGGAGATCATGGGATCTGTATGATATATCATATAAGTATGTATGTATGTATGTATGTATCTCTATATATATACAAATATGTATGTATGTATGTATGTATGTATATATACAAATATGTATGTATGTATGTATGTATCTATATATATATACAAATATGTATGTATGTATGTATGTATGTATATATACAAATATGTATGTATGTATGTATGTATGTATATATAAAAATATGTATGTATGTATGTATGTATGTATCTCTATATATATACAAATATGTATGTATGTATGTATGTATATATACAAATATGTATGTATGTATGTATGTATCTCTATATATATATACAAATATGTATGTATGTATGTATGTATGTATATATATATACAAATATGTATGTATGTATGTATGTATGTATATATACAAATATGTATGTATGTATGTATCTCTATATATATGTATACAAATATGTATGTATGTATGTATATATACAAATATGTATGTATGTATGTATGTATATATACAAATATGTATGTATGTATGTATGTATGTATATATACAAATATGTATGTATGTATGTATGTATGTATATATATATACAAATATGTATGTATGTATGTATGTATCTCTATATATATATACAAATATGTATGTATGTATGTATGTATGTATCTCTATATATATATACAAATATGTATGTATGTATGTATGTATCTCTATATATATATACAAATATGTATGTATGTATGTATGTATGTATCTCTATATATATATACAAATATGTATGTATGTATGTATGTATCTCTATATATATATACAAATATGTATGTATGTATGTATGTATCTCTATATATATATACAAATATGTATGTATGTATGCATGTATCTCTATATATATACAAATATGTTATGGTAGGTTTTTTGTAGGTATGTATCTCGTATAAATTCTATATATATATAACAAAATATGGATGTATGTATGTATGTATGTATGTATGTATGTATATATACCCCAAAATATGTTATGGTAGTATGGTGTATCTCTATATATATATCACAAATATGTAGGTATGTATGTATGTAGCTCTATATATCTATACAAATATGTATTGTATGTATGTATGTATCTATTATATATATACAAATATGTATGTAGGTATGTAGGTTGTCTCTAGTTTTATTGTTTATTTTTTGTTATTTTATTACAAGTATGGTGATGTATGTATGTATGGATCTCTATATATATAATACAAATAGGTTGTAGTATGTATGTAGATGTATTGTATTTTGTGTCCGATCTATTATGATATATATGTATGTATGTATGTATGTATCTCTATTATATACAAGAGATGTATGTATTATGTATGTATCTCTTATATATATTACAAATAGTATGTATGTATGTATGTATCTCTATATATATATACAAATATGTATGTATGTATGCATGTATCTCTATATATATACAAATATGTATGTATGTATGTATGTATCTCTATATATATATACAAATATGTATGTATGTATGTATGTATCTCTATATATATATACAAATATGTATGTATGTATGTATGTATCTCTATATATATATACAAATATGTATGTATGTGGCCCCACCCTGTATATAACAATAGTATGTATGTATGTATGTATCTCTTATATATATACGCAAATAGTAGTAGTATGTATGTATCTCATTATATATATACAAAATAGGTATTGTATGTATGGTAATGTAGTCTCATAATATATATACAAATAGAATGTTTAGTATGTATCTATAATATAATACAAATATGTATGTATGTATGCATTGTTTTTTGTTAGTAGTCTATATATATACCCACCAAATATGATGTATGTATGTCTGTATGTCTCTATATATTATATACAAATAGGGTATGTATGTATGTATGTATGTATGTATCTCTATATATATATATACAAATATGTATGTATGTATGTATGTATGTATGTATCTCTATATATATATACAAATATGTATGTATGTATGTATGTATGTATCTCTCTATATATATACAAATATGTATGTATGTATGTATCTATATATATACAAATATGTATGTATGTATGTATGTATCTCTATATATATATACAAATATGTATGTATGTATGTATGTATGTATCTCTATATATATATACAAATATGTATGTATGTATGTATGTATCTCTATATATATATACAAATATGTATGTATGTATGTATGTATGTATCTCTATATATATATACAAATATGTATGTATGTATGTATGTATCTCTATATATATATACAAATATGTATGTATGTATGTATGTATGTATCTCTATATATATATACAAATATGTATGTATGTATGTATGTATCTCTATATATATATACAAATATGTATGTATGTATGTATGTATCTCTATATATATATACAAATATGTATGTATGTATGTATGTATGTAATATATACAAATATGTATGTATGTATGTATGTATGTATATATATACAAATATGTATGTATGTATGTATGTAGGTAGGTAGGTAGGTATGTATGTATGTATGTATGTATGTACATACAGTACGTACGTACGTACGTACGTACGTATGCATATGTTTATATGCATATATGTATATATGTATGTATCTTGTATCTACTTCAGAATGATTAGAACATAATGGGAAAGAGCGGCAAGACCATGTGTGTATATATATATATACACATACATTGACGTGTATGTATGTATGTATGTATATATATATACACATGATGTGAAAGGTTTGAGAACATCTCTCAAAAGATACAACATGTTTGGGGGCTACTATGAATGTGTATATATATGTAAACATATGTGGGTATAAAAACATAATATAATAACATATACACATATACATAATTGTATATTAATATTGTATATTAATGTATAATTTTATCTAGAATGTTTAAGGGGTATAATGCATAGTGTATAATGTATATAAGTGTATATACTTATATCATCTTTTATCTGGGTATATGATAATGAACAGCAACCTGATTCTAGTGATGTCACAGTAAAGGCGCGTGATATTTGTGGTGGATGTTGCATGGAATATCTTGGGGCTTCCCACAGGGACTTCCGGGTGTCTCATGCGGGGTAAAGGTGAATGATTAGGGAAACACGAAAATGTTGACCAAGAAAAAGTACATGGATACTTATTGGAAATGCATCCGGAATAGCTATGTGTTTAGGTGTGAAGAGAGCAAGTCTGTTAGGCAATTTATGGAGATATACGGGTGATTTTTACATAGCTGAGTGATCAACCGGCTAGGGGTGCACCTTGAAATTGCTCAGAAATTGCCATGTGGGTCTGTCTGAGAATAGGGTACAGTATACCCCCCAAGTCTAGCTATCTTCAATGGGAAAATGATGATAATCCATCTGATAATCCAATGGATGTAGAGGTACACTATTTTCAGACAAAGCCATGTGATTTCAGCATGGTGAGTATAGCTGAAAGTGCAGTTGAGCCGTGTCCCGTGTCTGACCCACAATCGAAATAGCAGAATCTATGCATAGATGTCATCGGGCAGATTTACCATTGAATTTGTTCAGGAATGTCGTCAACACATGGTCCAATGCTTTGGCGGGCCAATGCCCCTGATTTTTGTTTGTCTACTTGATGGTTCACCCCAGTTGGTAAGTGGGTTATACCCCCAGTCATAGCTGGAAACCCAGCAAAAAACGGAGGTTATACTTCCTATACAAGCCACCTCCTCACTAGGTTGAACCATGAGGTGTGTACCTTTCCTCTTACTAAACCAAAAGGTAAGCCGACGCCATGTGGAAATCATCAACTCCAGCCGCTGCCGAGAGTCCGTTGAGATCGAAGAAAAACTTCCTGGGGCGAAAGAATAGGGCCATCTATACCATGGATACCTATTAAATGGTGAATGATAGTAGTTCCTTGTAAACCATCTATAAGTGGGCCAATGGCTACTGAACTACATTTATCTGGAAAGAATAGGTCAATAGGTCTAGCATTTTCGTAATACAATCTAAAGCAAAAAAAAAAAATTAGAATGATGCTGTTTATATGTTTCCATCATGGTGAGGCCAGCCAGTGAGGATGCTCATATTTGCCCGGATGGAAACCGCTGAGTCTCTCTTCGTCGGTCATGCTCTTGGCATCGGCCGCAGCCATGGACACGAATCTGCCAGGGCGTATGGTGGCCGGGTCCATGCCAACGTAGACTCATGATGCTTGAACTCCCAGCCCCTGAAATGCATTGGATCTATCGGATTCTTGGGGTTCTGGCTAGGAGTCAAAAGCTTGGTACCTTTCTGTTCCAAAATAAGCAGATTTTGATCCATCCCCATAGGAGGATCTACTTACCTAGGTGAAGCAACAAAGTGCATGACCAATAAATCGGCAAATTTCTTTTCCAGGATATCTTGATTTAGCATTTTCACCCTACAATTTCCACATGTCCAAAGTTGCTATCCATCTTAAAACATACTGATACTTCACTAACCTGAGTGCCTGAATAGTTCGGCTATTGTGGGATAGTTACCCCAATCCAATTCCGCCGTGGTGACGTCGCGAAAGGCGGTCGCAACACTTAAGTTTTCCAGAAATTTCCAGATCTACTCGTCGGTAGTTTAACATGGCTATGGAAAATTGCCTATTCATATTAAGGAGAATCAGCATGTTTAATATGTAAAAACATAGAAATGATCATTTATAGATGTTTTACCTCTTCAAAAATTATCATTACCTCTGGTAATTTGAGCTTGGTCTACATAGTTTTGCTCACCCAGAAGCGTCTCACGTTTGCAGCCTTTGGCAATAATTTGAGCTAATTATGATAAATGATCATTTATCGCCTCTTCATTTATTTGTTGATTTTCCATAATTAGCTCAAATTACCCGCGGCTATGTGAGGATTGCTCAAAATCCCGGATCGCCAGCACCCCAGCTTTCTCCGGGAAAGCCGCCTGTGAGGCCTGGTGCTCCTGGCGGATTGGACATCTGAACCCCCCGGCCAGTACCCTCTGGTAATTCAACAGTTGCTATGGAAAATCACCATCTTTCATAGGTAAATCATAGGTAAATCAACCAACTAAATGGGCCATGGCTGAAAAATAACTATTTGTTAAATGACCAGAGGGTCACTTAGTTGGCCATCAATCCTAACCTTCTGTCTGGGCCGTTGCACTAAGAAATGGGTACACTCCACCATAGTTTCTAGGGGCTCCAGATCCCAACTTTTGGAGGTTAGCATCCCATATCTTATAGTTGTACACATGAATAAGCCCAGCTGCACCCCAAGTGGCGCTAACAATGAGAAAACACTTCACAATATTCTCAGTCACTAAAATTCTAGTGGTATCTTTTCACTGAGAATGCTCTGGGGATGTGGGATTTTTTCTGGGACATCGCTATCGGATAGGTGTCAACTCCGCCAATCTACCTGGACACCTTCCGTAAACCACTGCGAGGCGGCTAACAGACTTCAACTGAACGGGGGATTTCAACTACAAGAAATGCACAGAAATCCATTGACATATATCATGATCGGACACATTTGAATTCTTCAAAAAAATGAGATCAGCCAAGTTATATACCCTTGAGTCCTTGAGCAATCGGAAGCCATGGCCCATGTATAGATGTTTTACCTGTTAAACATGGTGATTTTCGATAGCAACTGTCGAATTGCCGGGTATTTTCCACTTGAAACTTGAAACCGACAACAGGGTAACCCCAAATCCCATGATTTATCATCAATTTCCCTATTTAAAGTTGCCATGTGGTATATCCCATTTTCAGACACACCCAAACATCATATCATGATCTCTCATCTTGTACCTATTAAACCATTCTATTCATGGGTGAAATTCCCATTTTCAGACACACACACACACCATGTGGGGATTTCAAGAAATTTGGGGTACCCTGAAATCATTCATTTTAATATGAGTTTGAGTTTTCCATTATACGCCATCCAGCTATTGGGGTACCCCCATTGATGGAAAATCCCATGTGTTTTGATGCCGGTTTTCACTGGAGCTCGCCAGCAAAGCCGGTCCTCCACAGTGGTCGCAGCCAGCACGCAGCTTGGAGCATATGGGGGGCGACTGGCAGCCGGGCACCAGTCGAAGACACAGGAGATCATCCATTGAAATCAAAATTGGATGGAAACAGGGTGATAGAAACAAATGAAGGAACGAACATTGAGAGGAAACATGTGTCTCACTATGTCTCATTCCATTTCATGAGAATGGAATGACTTGATGGGTCTGGGATTTTTTTGGAGGTGATCTGGACTTGAAATCACCTTTAAGTTCAGTCTTGCAGAATTAATGGAATGATCTTGGTCCCAAAGCTTGGGATGATTGACGATATCTCTCATTGAAGACTCATGCAGCAGGCAAACATCTGCGATCTTCGAAGATGAGTGACATGCCGTTGATCCGTTGAGTATGGGATGGGGAAATACCTGCAAAGCTACATGGGGGCTCCCCAGGTTAAAATAATAAGATTATTTTTATAAACCATATTTAGATATATTTAGATATATTATAATGTATTTTACACATATTGACTCCAAGCCTAACCTCCAGTTATTGGAGTTATTTGCACCAAGTTAGCTATCATTTGGGGCCAACGAATTGTATCTAATGAGTTCACTTTGGTATGTTTCCCTCGGTTGTTGCGCTGCTGCACCTAGCCCAACAGCCACAAGCAAAGCCAGCTGCCGTACACGCATGCGCGACGTGCAACTGACAGGGGTGGCTGAGCCGCCTCAAAGCCTTTCTAGCAAGATATGGCAGTTCGGATATAGCTCATTCTGGAAAATCATCCATCATGTAGCAGAGAGTACTGATCGAATTTCACGAGAAATATCATCTCCTTACCTCAAATATAGTCACTCTCAATCTGAACCTGCTTTGCAGTACACACTTTTCTTTGTTTGCTGCGTGATTCCTAGGCAGCGGCGTATCTGGTGTCACGTTGCAACACAACAAGTAAAAAAACACATCTTAGGAGCGTCAGTTGGCCCTCAACTACTCCATGGTCGTGGACTTTGCAATTTCTGGGCAAAAATCAATTCTGCGGGTGGAGAGGTTGATGCTGGAAGGCACGTCTTAAATGCAAAATGTGTTTGAACACATGTTGTAATATCGGCAATCGCAAAATGCAGATACAGTACCCTCAATGTTCATCAATTTTCATGGTTTAGCAAAAGCCGTGACCAACATCTGTGATATACCGGACTTACCTCAGAAATTTGGATGGTGACAAACTTAAAGTGACACATACTTGTCTTGATGTGTTGATCGCTGTGGTTTCCTGGGTCTTGAACTTTGACCAACAGCGGGTCGCAACGGATCCCGGTTTACTGCGGCGCGTTCCACAAGATCGAAATTACGTATCAAAGATCTGAAAGAGATATGGTTCAAGCACATCTCTCTGTGGTATCTCAACTTATGGCGATCAATGCCAACAAGCACCCGGATAGACCTACCATTCACAGAGATTTACGTAGAGTCCCAAAGAAATAACTGTCAACCTGAGTTTTCGTTTGTTGAACTCAACTGCTTGTTGACCCATTGCAGTTTTCATGCTCGATAGCTTCAAGGTCTATGGAGTCCTTGGCTGATCAAGCGATAGTAGTGCACAGTTCCAAAGTGGCATCCCTGTGTACCAACAACAACATGTCTAACCCTTGTCACCGGTGATTTCACACATCACATCATTGCAAAACACTCATGATACTCATGTTTGCATTTCTGGTTGGAACATTGAGCATTGTCTCACAACTGTTGAGCATGCCAGCACAACTGTTGTGTTTTGGCCACAAGGACAACATGGTGTCTACAGTATCTGCAACATATATGAACCAAGCATGTATAATAATAATGTGCGTATATATAATCACATATATACATTATTAAATCATATAACATACGTAACATTGCATGGTACATGAACCACAAGTGGGGCATAGATGCTAAAAAGACGCTAGCACCAGAATAGCACCACAGCAAATGTCCGAAAAAGGGCATAGTTCCATCATGTTCCTAGGTTTACCGTGCCATTTTCTGAGTGAAAGACCACGGAAAAAAAAGTCACGGTGCTGAAGTTCATTGAGCACAGCAGCTAAGTCTTTCCTCCACACTCGTTCCTCCAGGTTTGCGCTAGGGTGCCCAATGCTATCAAATGCCTGTGATAATTCAAAGCGTCAAGAAAAATACTGGTTGCTGGTTCCAACCCCTGCTTACAAAAGTGAAACTCAATCATTACGATTACAAATATTACAGAAAATTGTCTTTCAGTGGGGTGAGTGTTAACAGGTTTGAAACCACCAGCCAGAAAAGTAGGGTAGCAACCCTACTCGCTGTGATTGAGACACATGCTGTCCTTGCACTGCTTAAAGTAACTTCAGAAACCCATCATCCATTCCATCAGCCGATCTCAAAAAACATGGCTTCCGATGGCTGTGACGCTTTGCCGATGTTTGCGGTGGTTTCACCACCGTTTCACCCCATCCAAAATTCACAGCATCTTTATCCCAACTGCAGGGCGTTGAAATATGAAGAGTTCTCGGATGTTCTCGTTTGTTCTTGGATAGGGTAAAAATGGTGAATACACTATGACACTAGGGTTGGATGGATGAACACAAATCAGCATTTCCAACTGGGAGGCCCACAGTCCAAGTACAGTATATTCTCTGGGTGATCAGTTCGCATCTATGTCTTGCATCTGCCTGACCATGTACTCACAAGCAATAGGTTAACAACTATATGATACTAATCATAATAGTGATGCTTAAAATGAGAATAATGAATGAAACTGACAATAATAATCACAATATACTATGCTAGTTAAACAATAAATCATACAACTCAGTATCTAAACAAAATAGACAAACTACCCATATAAGGTTTATCCAGATATCTAGTCCTCTTCCGGACAGGTCTTTGCCTTGTTTCTCAATCACAGCGAATCGAGCGCGGATCGCACGATCTGCTTAGCCCTCATCGCTCCACTTGAACTCACCACCACCAAAGGGAATGTCTGCAGAGAAAACGACGACAACAACGGCAATAAGATCATGAACAACAACAGCAGTATCAGCAGTATCCCAAAATAAAATGGGCAAAAGTCCCATTTTATAACATATAGGATCATATACTGTAGGTATATATTTTGCTTCAGTTTTCTAGATACCTTTATAGAGATATAGAAGGTCTAAGTAGAACCAATGAATGGAAAAGAAAAACACAAGGAAACACAAGGCTTACGTCATCGACAACGGCAACAAGGACAACAAAAACTTGGTCACATTGCTTGCAAGACATGGCCGAAAAAAGTGGTGGGTTGGTCTGAAATCTCGACACTAAAAAAAGGAATCAGTGGTCACTATTTTCCAATGAATTGTTTGGTCCATGGAAAGATTTGTCAGACCTGGTTTCAGATTAATATGTGATACCATGTTCCAACAGCACATAAGGATTATACCAAAATCTTTTGGTCAGAACCACCGATGGAATTTGGAAGACTCGATGCGTGCACTTCATCTTTGTTGGGGAACGCCCTATGTTCTTGTTGGTTCACTTTGCTGTGTAACAGTTTCCTAACCACTGTCACAATCCACTGGATTCTCAGCATTCAGAGATAAATCAGCAAGCGAAGAATTATCATTGTTCAATGTGTTGCATCCTTGGCCTGACATGATCAAAGAATTTCTTAGGCCAGTCATCCCCAAAGAACCACCATCAACAGAACAAAAAAAACATGAACATGCCCCAGTTCTAAGTCTAGTATCGGATTGATATATTCATCAAATACTATTCATCAAATACAGTATATAAATATTACACAGTTCTTCAATCATCAACAGAGTTTTTGTGATTCATTTTTCGCCAACTCCAATAATAGCCCCAGGTTGAAGTATGGCAGTGTGTCAAAACCTTGTACCCCTGGTGAACATCAAAATAGCTGGTAAAATGGATGTTCATCCCCCTAAAAATGGTATTTATAGGTATTGATTCATAGCCGTATGGGATCAGTCGTCCGTCGTCCCAGGTTGCGGGCTCTCCCTGCCGGGGCCTAAGCGATAGGTCTCTAAGGTCTCCATCGCCTTCCCATAGTCTTTGGCCACCAGGTACTGTTCCACCTCCCTGGGAACCAATAGAAATCACCGGTATTTCCCTCTGGTTATGACTAACATAGCCATGGGAAATGGCCCATTTATAGTTGATTTACCTATTAAAAATGGTGATTTTCCATGGCTATGTTAAATAACAAGATGGTTTTCATGTGGAAAAGCCATGGGGAAACACTCTGAAAAAACACGATGATTTACCGGGTAAACCCTTGGGTAGAGTCACATCGATCTGGAAAAACATGTTGATGGATAGATGTGGAGCAGTGAGATAGAAGCCACCATGACATACCCTGGGGTAAACATACGCAAACATGTTGAAAGCCCATGAGGAAACCCATTTGGAAAAAGGTCTATCAATGGTGGGTTGCTCACATCTCTATTATGTTTACAGGAGGGTAGCAAATTTATGCAATTTTAGATATTATACCATCTGACTATAACCCCTTCAAATTGTATATGCTACTATATATGTAATTGCTATATCTATATACTGTGTGCTGAATATATATACATATCAACCATGACATTTGTGCTTTTTTTTTGCACAATTTTGGCTGTATATTCATGGGCATATCAACCAGCCCAAAATGCGATCAGAAGAGAAAACATTAACATAAACTGTTGGACAACCTCAGGTTCATTTTTGGATCATCCTCTACTTTGTGCAGAAAGTCCTGAAGGAACGGCTACTGCACTACAACAACCTACTACTTCATTTTTGGATCATATTCGATCTATTACATCTATTTACATTCATTGAGGTCCCCTACTGAGGTTTATATTGCTAGGGTGCTGGGAACAAAAGGCGAAACCTGGGGATCTGGCTGACAAGCATGAACATGTTTTTTTTGCCAACCAAAAACGAGTGTATTGACCAGGACAAATGTGATATAAACCACAAACAAATGTAGAGAAAGAACCTAAAAGCCAATTCCAGAAAGTCTTTGGATATTCACTGATATTCACTAAACAAATGTATACTCATATGATCCCTTACGGAAGATTAAGATTACATGAGATTATTATATACCCTTAAAGACATGGCGATGTTCATCACCAGGGAAGGACTAGTAACTGGCCACTTCTATCGGGTGCCGTTCCAGCTATAGGGGTCCCACTATATCTATATCCAGTTGTGGAATATTAGATAGTCCCCATTCAATATGTATGGTGTGGATATATCATAGTTATTTCATGTTATTTCTGAGTTGGATATATTTCCCAACTTGCGGAATATCTACCACGGTGAAATATCTATTACTTACCCCAACTGCAGCCCCAGGCCTCCTGAAAGCTTTAAGCTATAAATTACAACCAGCCTGTTCCTAAGGTGTTTGGCGGCTGCGAGGTTAGCCGCTCTACCCTCAAAATACCTGCAAGAACATTTTTAGCATACCCAACTTGCAGGAAACATATCTTTCGTCATGTTCCCCTCGAAGGACAACACGAGATCAGAGTACCAATCATAAGAACATCAGAACAATACCCTCCAGCAAAAAATCACATAAATCTTGCCATTTATATCCATTTATCGGGGGTTGGAAGATGACTTTCCACTACAACTTCTTGATCTTCAGGGTCTATGTGAATTTACCAGAGGCTAATTAGAGGGTTATACCACGTTATAGCCATTATCGACAGTTAAAACACATTCCATTGTCGATGAAAGATTCAGGATGTTTCCGGCTCCAAGTCACTTGGCATCTGCTTGAAGCTTCCTGGAGATCTTGTCTGGAGCCTTGCGGTGAAGGGGACCATTGACCATGGAGAGTGACACGGTGAATTCAATCTGAAATGGTGATTCAAAATTCATATATATATATATTTATAATCCACATAGCCAATAGTCATATTAAATATCCCTAAATGAAACCATGCTTGAATATTGCATATATCATCATACATTTATCTTGGAGGCTCGTAAGAAGGCAACAACAATCGGTGGCTTGAAGTCATCCTCCAAAAAATGACTGACACGCAATCATCAGCAAAACTACGATGCAAACAATAAGCATAAACATACAAAGTAAGACAAACTGCCGACCAACAACAACCAAGATAATATAGCTATATAATATTATATAATAGTAAGAAGCATACATCGCCAACCAACAACCCAACCAAAAAAGTGGGCACACAATGACTACGAAAGCAACAAGATAGGCAAACTATGACAGGTATTACGTTCACCACACATACAACACCAGGGTCGCTTTCAATCGAGAATGTTCCTTTCGGGACCCAAGACATGTGATGACGAAATACTCGATTCAGTCCGCTAAAGCACGTGTATTTATGTTCATCAGGTCAACAAAAACGCTTTCTGATGTTTCTGGGTGCACTGACTGTCCAGGGTCTCCCAATAGTCATTCCATTTCTGCCAGTGCTAAGGTCACGCCTCATCCATGCGTTGGATGCTGCCGTAGCTCATGAGAGCGGTGATGAACCTAAGTCCCATCAACATAGAGAAAGAACAGCAACACTAGCTTGAGCTTCAACAATCAAACATGGATGGCTAGCTGCCGAATCCCCTATAAATGAAGGTTTTGTTCAGAAAATCTCGTGCAAATAGGTGATTCTTCAATGCCATGTTTGATTGCCGGAGGGTACCAAACCAAGGTAAGGCAGAAATGCCCCGCTTCAACATCACCCAACCAAATATCATCTCTAACAAGGGCCATCTGATGTCCACATCTTTTTCAATGGCACATTTTGGAAAAAATAACTGCACAACATAATCAGCTTCACTTGGGCCAAGCATGGCTTCAATCTGGGTTTCTACTCCTTTCTGCAACCTTTGAACATATTTTACGTCAATCATGGAATCATCATCTCAATGCAGTGTTAGAAAGCAATGTGGTAATCCAAACGAAGAAATAAACTTACCGTTTCTTTTGATACATCTTGAACCATTAGGCTCGTCCTGTGGATATCCCACATCAAAACATAGGAACTGTGCCGTTGAAGGTCATATCTTCCTGGGATATTCCCTCAACTAATTTGGCTGCCTGATTTTTCTCCTAAGCCAACGGTGACGGAGACCAAGATGAGACAGCATCAGGTGCATTTCAAGGTGCGGAAGATCATCTTAGATCTTCCGTATAGATCCGCATATCCGATGTCTATTTTAAAGAGAGTAGCTACAGCTACTGTACATTAAAAAATGTCCTCAAACCCATCCACCTCTTGTTCCTACAACCTCACGCCAAAACATGTGCTGATCATATTCCATGAAACAGATCTTGGAGTTTTGGTATGCAACACATTGCCACACTTAGATGCCCTACAAAAATAAAAAACACTGGTAACTATACGTTGCGGTTTAGATCCATTTGGTATGTGTAAAATATCAAAGCTGGTTGGTGGTTATAACATCTTATAACCACTCTCAAAAAATATTAGTCAAATGGGATTGTTATTCCCAATATATGGAAAAATAATAAATGTTCCAAACCACCAACCAGATGAGTACCTACTTGCCCATGATTCACCCTGAAACCAGAAATACCATCATCCAAATTTTCACATAGACCCTGCCAAATAGGGGTTCATATCAACTATGGATGGTCTATATCCCCATAAACATCCCCATTAATTAACATCCATCAACTTGTGATATTAACTGTTTGTCTCAAGTGTGTCAGCCAAAAAAAAATGGACAACCCAAAAAAATGGATGATACAAAAAACAAACCCGCCCTTTTTTTCCGAAAAAGGCACTTTTTCATCTTCTTCTCATCCAGAAACTCATCCGTGACGGTGCCTGCGGCCTGGAGTGCAGGAAGGAAGCGGCAAACAGAGGCTGAAAGATGCATGGTAAACCATGGTAAACCATGGTAAACCATGGTAAACCATGGTAAACCATGGTAAACCATAGTAAACCATGGTAAACCATGGTAAACCATGGTAAACCATGGTAAACCATGGTAAACCATGGTAAACCATGGTAAACCGTGGTAAACCATGGTAAACCATGGTAAACCATGGTAAACCATGGTAAACCATGGTAAACCATGGTAAACCATGGTAAACCATGGTAAACCATGGTAAACCATGGTAAACCATGGTAAACCGTGGTAAACCATGGTAAACCATGGTAAACCATGGTAAACCATGGTAAACCATGGTAAACCATGGTAAACACACCTATAGCTTTGAGTTACAATTTGTCTAATACATGAAGTTCTTTGAGGAGATTTTTGGGTTCTAGCCATCTATGGTGATGTCGATGAGCAATTCGTTGGATGATGCGGTCTTACCCCATCCCCTCCGATGAGGATTGTCCCAATCGGTGTGTGCCCTTTGCAATAGGCATCATGAGCCCCGAGAAGTTTCTCCAAATGGTCAACGTTTGTGAAATAAAGACATGGAGAGAATTAAGTATATAATTTAATCAGGTTGGCACAATTCTAAGCACGCAATGCTAATGCAAACATATTAAATTAATAAATACCAGGATAGCAATACAAGTATGTACATATGTTTATACATCTATATTATCTGCATGTTGCAAATTCGGTGACACATATTCAACAACGGTTTCTCAGGCCGCAGTTTCTCAAAAAAACCGCAAACCCCGACCTGAAGCTCCTTGTAGGACTTCAGGATTCTGGGCAGAAACTTCTTCCTGGTCTTTGGGGATGAGATCTGACTGGTTTTGAGTGCCAGAAGATGGTTAAATCATTTGAAACCTGGGAGTCCTTACTTCCCAAAAAACAAAAAAACAAACAGTAAATGAATCAAACGAATACTTTCAATTTGTCAAACCAGACCAAAGAATACCAAAGATATGTGGATCAAAGGCTGTCTCATGGCACTGAAGTGCCAAGCGATTTTCCAGCCGAAATAACAACAACATGGGCATCCGTAGATGTAAAAATTGTAAAAATTGTTGATTTAACCGAATTTAACCAGCAAAAATCCGGAATTAACCAACAAATATGAGGATTTATAGTTGACTTAGTTGACTTATGTTGACTTACTGTAGTTGTCTTGCTAAGTTATGCTAATGTGGTTAAAAAAAACTTAGGGTACTAATTGCTGGGATGAACATGAGGCAACAACCATAGCTGCTTCACCTTTTGAGAATTGCTGGGTCCAAGGAAAAGCGAACACTCCCGTTTAGGTCCCTGAAAACACATGCCTATGCGGAAAAAAGTGTTCACCTCATACAAACCCAAAAAATCTGGCCAGAAATTGAACATGTTGTACACCTAACTAGCAATATTCCGTCTCAAATTTGGAGATGGCTATTGGCAATTGGATTTGCCAGATTCATTTCTGCAATCCTGGAGGAACCAATTTCAGGATGACTCACTCGATGCGGGCCTCACGCCGATGATCATCGACCTGGACAGGATGCATGTGAAGATCAAGCAATCCTTCACCCATGAAATGAGGAACTTAACCCACCTTCAGAGGAAATCCCATTTGTTTGGGTCCAAATGCGGTGTTCGGACTTTAGGTGTGCGGTGTTCGGCATGTAAACCGTTCAAGGGCGCTGAAGCCACCCGAAACGCGATCAAGGAACAAGCGATCTCGATCCCCGGCCAGGGCACTTTGAGGGCCAAGAAGTACCTGCTAGCGGCCACCGGTCAACCTCCAGAGATGTTTTTTTTGGTGGAAATGCTCACTTAGATAACCCATATGGTTGCCATATGGTTGCCATAAAAGGTTCGGAATTCAAAGAAAGACATGTGCTTGATTGATCTTGATTGTAGGAACATGGAACTGGCGGAACTGGTTGCAAAAAAGGCTTAGTAACCCGGACCAAATACCTTCTTGAGAAATGTTTGGGATACTGTGAAATGTTGGAGCTTGGATACCTTCTCACTAAGTCTCTGGATCCATTGCGCACATAAGACTATTTCAGTGTTTATTCCCGTTATATCTTCATTGGTTGTATTGTGTATCCTCATTATTTGCATCAGATACTCCATGAAATCCCACTATGCGCCCCCCTATTTTTGGTTTCCGGGCAAAACATGGCAAAATCAGACATGTTTCCCCACCCAGATCATAGAAAATCCCAGCAAAAAGAATGGTTTTTCCCAGATTCTTGGCGAAGCAATGAACCCGTCTGCTTGGCGAAGCCCCGCCTGCGAAGCAATGGCTGCCGCCATCTGTCGCCTTTGCAGCTCCTTCCAGGTGCATCGGGCATCGCCGAGTCATGGAGGACGTTGAACGAGTTGAATGAGAGTTTAACCATTGGACAGTAACCATTGGACGCTACAAACATGCTGATATGATGGGGAAAAAAACCATACTTTTATAACCCGCAATAGAGTTATTAGAGTGATTTAAGTCTCAATCATGATGTGGTAGACCCGGTAGTAAACCTCGAATTTTGTAAGGTTTAATACCACTCTCTCTCTTTCTCTCTCTCTCTCTCTCTCTTGGAAAATTGGGTATGGCTTACTGTATCATTGGGTTGACCACATTAAGTGAGTGGCAATAGGTCTGAAAAAGGTGGATTGACTACTATGTGACAATGATTGAAGTTTGAAGCATTAAGACATAAACGATGTGAACTGAACCAGCAAAGACTGGGTTGTAACTATCTAAATAACAAAATGACCTTCTATCAAAAACTGTTCATTGCATCAGCACGCATTGGTGATTTAATTATGAAGTAGAATTAGGATCTCAGCCACCAGAGGAACTATACGATAAAGCAACGGAACTTATATATAAAAGTATCCAAATAGCTATCAAAAACTGAGATTGATACTGAGTTTACTTTGCCGACAAACATTCAGATAAGGGTATGGGTCAAAATAGCGACATTGGTTCCATTGGTTCGGAAATGTACTGCAACTGTCAAAACAAAGACGTGGAAGATCACAAATCAAACGATGGACGCATACGGAAACATGCAAAATTATCTACCCAAAAGCTAAAAGAAGACTTTGTCGCACGGCACCTTTCAGGTAGACAGAGGAACATCCAAAAGATGGAAAAAACACTTCATATTCAGCCATGGGGTCACCACAAATCATCCACATCTTAGTGGCACATGACAATGTGTTTTCCTGGCGAAAGAGATGGATATCCCACGACCACCAGGCGCGACATCGCAGCCTGCTTTGGCACTTCCACGAACGCGGAACGTTGCGTCAGTGCTCCCAGCACCTGGGTCTACTTCAATGAGAAGTGGTTCAACCAATGGCCTCAAACCAAAGCATTGTTGATTCATTTTATTTCATCTTAATTTATGTGGTTTTGAGTTGATTTATTTTAATCATGTTTAATCTATGTTGAATTATGTTAGTATATGTCAAATGTCTTGATGGGCTCTGCACAGTGTGCATCACAAAATCACATCATCATTTGACCAACGTTATGATGATGATGATGATGCTGCTGATGATGATGATGACGACGATGATGATGATGATGGTGGTGGTGATGATGATGATGAGCAATATGCAGTTGTAATCACAACATCATTGATTTGCCTGAGTATAGTACAATCTGCACTTGTTGTTTTCTTCCATTGTATTTTGAAATTTCTGTTACACACTGCTCTACTTGATGATATTATTCTCCATAGTGTGGTTCTGTTCCTTTCTAGGAATTCACCGACAAACCTTGGACGCACCGGACATTTCCGACATTTGGATGGTCAAAGTAGATCAAAGTAGGTACTCAAGTACAGCTTCAGTGGAACATCAAGGCCATGATTTGGGTGTGGTATGGTGTAGTTCAACCAAACATGGACATATACGACCAAATTTGGTGGAAGCTTTGGCACCCGCTCTGTGAACACAGCGCCGACTGGGTCTCCGGCCACTAACCCAATACACCTCAGGGAGGTCAGTATTGCGCGGACACATTTCAAGAAGCGGACATGGGATTTGTGAAAGTAAACATCATCATCATCATCGTCGTCGTCGTCGTCGTCATCGTCATCATGGCGTCACTCACAACAACATTGAAAGCATGCGTTCATTAACAAACGTCGCAAACGAAGGGCACACAAAAAATACTGGGGTTTAGGGGTCCGAGCAACATGTTGAAAGCAACCAACCACATCTGTTTCAAACTATCGTGGATGGGAAATCCGCATTGCTGGTGACTGGTGAACTCCAAAGTAGCTTGCAAATGGATGTTCATCTCCCTAGGTTTTGATCCATTAAAATCAAGTATAAAGTCAACATATGTTCTTGGTTCAGTCCCAATTTTTGCTGGCAAAATCACCTTGCGCTTTCCCGATTGCGGCGCTGGGCGACCGGACGAGACGAGCCCGCGGAGCGGTGTCCGCGGACCGCCTGCCGAAAGTTGCTGGAATATTAAAAAAAACCACCATGGAAGATATGTGTATAATAACGTATAATATATATATATATGTACAGTATATATCAACATATACATTATGATATAATATTATATGTGTATAATATATATATATATACATATTCTACACATATGCGTACAGTTATCCTGAAGTACATAGAATAAGTTTAAGGTATATTCAATAAGGCTCCCACTTATTCTAATCCAGAGATCACAAGAAAATACATACAGTTGTTATCACCTTCAATAGTTGGGATATAGGGCACCTATAACTATGGAGTTACCCTCTCGTAATTCAACATAGCCATGGAACTCGTACACGTGTAGATGATTCACCTCTTATATGATCATTCTCCATGGCTACTGTATCTAACAAATCAACACAAATCATAGGATTTTTCATCATGGATTATGATATTCCATGATATTCCCCTTTTTCTATAAAAAAAACATTATCCCCTACCCTCTGGTAATTTGTTACATAGCTATTGAACATGGCCCATTTATAATGGATTTTCCCATTGAACATGGTGATTTTCCATAGCTATGTTAGTTCGTTTACCAGAAGGTATCCCCTAACCAATCAGCGACCCACGCCTGGCCGCGGCATCGCCTCTGCAAGATGTTCGTCCATGGGTTTCTTCAAGGGAATCTACGTGGATCCTGCAGATTTTCCAACCAATCCAGATCAACATAGATACGTCGTATCTATTGGATGTCAATGACGCAATCAGAATAAATGTTCAGTTGACATCATGTTTGAAATCTTCATCATGACATCTTTGGTTGCTTAGATATTGGATATACTTGGATATGATGTCACGTATTGAATCCAAGGCAGGTGAATATTGGATATGGGTTTGTCTGAAAATAAGGAATCCACTGATTTACCAGTTGTTCATAACCTCATCTTCAGACACACCCATATTATTGCATGACACAACTTACACAACTTAGATGTGCAACCTGCTGTAAGATCTATTGGGGATACATGGGGTACGTAGTCCACACACCATGGGATATGATGGGGATATTTATGCTTGGAATATGATCCGGATATAATGGGATATGATTGGCATATGTAACCAATCATTATGATATCATATCATCATGTCTTTCTGGCAAACTAATAATGTATAGGCATAAATAGGCATCCAATTCAACTGGTTGGCTGATGGGCACATACTCCTACATCAAGTTTCAACAAACCCGAGCCCCTTTTAAACAAGGGCTTTAGCCAACACCCTGGTCACTTCAATCCTATTGTTTGTTGGTTATATACATATTATAAATAAAAAATAATATATATATATAATTATGTATATACATACATAGGGTGAAATCCCAAAGTCGCTGACGTAAATCCATATGGCCAGCATGCTGACTGAAAAATCAGTTGTCTATTCAGTAAGTTGTACCTAAAGGGTACAAGAGGTTCTCTCAGGCAGCCCCCTGTAGTGTAGTGGACAACAGGACGTGCAACCCAGTTGTCATCCATGTCCCCAATAATGCTAAACGGGCCATTTTGCTGGGTTCATATGTTCTCCAACCAGAAGTTGAAATCTGTACTTCACACCACTTGTTTGTACAATTGGGCACGATTCTAACTTTGGTTCATGTCATTTTTGATGGTTCTCCAATCAACCATCAGTTGTGGGATGTTGCGGGCATTGGTCGTTTGAGGACTTTCAAAACAACATGGAGTATTGGAGAGCTTTACCGCAAGTATATTGCTTTCAATGCTGGAGGATTCAGAACACTTCCTGGATTCTAGAGGCAACTGAAAATTACACTGGCATAGACCCCAGATAGAAAAGATTCCAGAAACGCTTTTTCATGCCGTGTCAATCGGTCAGTGATATAGCGGATGTCTCGACAAGCAAATTTCACAGCATCTGCTTACTCAATTGACATGAGCAAATATTCTTTGAACACGCGTTTTGTTTTGTCTTGTTGAATGATCAAAATGATGATGCGTTTGGACTCAAAGATTTGCGTGTCGGATTGACATCACAGAGGTTGCGTCAAAAAAAATGTGTTTTCCTTGCCGCCCACGATTTCCAACCTTGGAACCTTGAAATCGCATTTGAAGGCAATCCTTGTTCCCACCGATTCAAGCAATTCTGGCAACTTTCATGCATCGGTATTGCTTGGTTTTGCGTAATGGGCCGGTAACAGAACGCTTTGTTTGGCTTAATGTTAGAATGATATGAAAACATGTTCTTTACAGCCTTTTGTTTTGCTTAATGGGCCGGCATCAAATTGCTTATCTGTAACACGCGGCAGTCCTTGGTAAACGCACACGCCTCCATATGACTAGGTTCCTATTTTCATCACGCTTTGATGTTTTCATATGACTGATTCTCCACGCCTGCCACTGAACAAAACCATTAACGGACTACGATTGCAGAAATTGCCAGTTCCACGAAATTGAAACTCATGGTTCCCAACGTGGCAACCATAGATTACCATTTCCAGCAATTACCAAATCATAAAATTTGGAACTCATGGTTGCCAACCTCGTAACCAAAGGTTACCATGGAAAGGAACTGCCGGTTCCCAGACCTTGAAACTTACGGTTCCCAACCTGGGAACCAGAGGTTGCCATTGCAAGGAATTGCCGGTTCCCAGAAGTTAGAATTTATGTTTTCGAAGCTAAGCGGCTATCATTGTAAGGAACTGCGATTCCCAAAGCTTGAAACTCATGGTTCCAAACCTGAAAAAGCATACGTTACCAGTGGAAGGATCTGTTGATTCCCAAAAGTTAAAACTCATGGTTCTTAATGTTGTTTTGTTTTGTTTACTGAGCCGGTAACAGAACCTTTTG